TTGGGAAGGAAATACGGTCAGCTGAGCGAGAAATGGGTTTTGGTCAACTACTCCCCGTGCTTCTTCTTTCTCAACCTGTTTTCGTGGCTCTCCAGTTGTACCTAGGTAAGTGTGAGACCTGTCGTACTGAGAACAGGGCCAGAGTTTTGTCACAGACTAAAGTATGTACTGACTTTAGTATTAAAGAACAAAGAGCACCCCAAATCCCCCCATCCTCAGCGATAGTCTCCGTCGGAAGCTGTGCAATTCATCCACGTCAAGCAGCAATGACAGCAGCAACAAAACTATCAGACGTACTTCAGAACGATCGTGGGCTACTATCAGCCTCAGAAAAGGCTGCCGGGCAGCTTCATGACCCCGTCATTGGTCATCTGTACCAGTCGAAAACCTTCATACGCCTCATCGTCTATATGTCTATCACTTCATTAGCTCCTGTGATATTGCCCTTTATGTTACCTGCTAACAGGAGCCTTGGTATCGCGTTCACAATACCTTTCGTCGTCTTCCTTCCATTAGTGGTATTTCCTATGTATTTCCATCCGAAGTCTAATCGACTGAAGTAGTCGTTTTGTTCTACGAAGAGTTCCATGAAGGCATGGAATTATTGAGTCATGATAGCCCAGTTCAAGACTTCGAGCCGTCTTGAACTTTCGAAGACCCCTTATTTGTTACTAAGTATAAGCTTTACGCGGATGATGTGTTCGAATCAAACCACTATGGTAGCTTCTGCATGGGCAAATTTTCACTTCAGTCTTCTTCACAAGGGACTAGTCAGTGTATCTGAAACCTTAGAGACAATACCACTGCAAGTTCAATACTCTTTTCCAGAACCACATCTTCCACGTCCGCTATAGTGTATCACGGCTAGCTCGATTATTAATGGGTATAGACTCTATTGTCAAAGCCTGGTACTTCAGTAAGACGTTTGTGCGAGCCATGTTTACTCATTTTATATGTATGTATGCTTCTGGGAGTCTGTTGTCACGTACTATGGAGTCACACGAATGAAATGGAGAATGCTCAGTCTTAGTCCTACTCTCTGCTTGTTCCGCATGGAAAACAGGGCTGCTCGGGATGAGACCAGCCATATCAGAGCTCACGCATGGTCGTGGATGATTACTAGTAATGAGTCCGGGCCTGGGCAGAGCTGTCCAATCGGCCAGACCGCACGAGAGAGGGGATTTTGTGCGCACGAATCAAATAATTTGTTTATTCATGGTTGTTCGCATTCAAAAGATATAGAATTGGCAGCGATCTCCTTAGTCTACATAGCGAAGTCACTGCCTAACATACTTCATAAGCTAGGCACCTCACTGTGTACAAGTCTTACCAATGCCATGTCCTTTGAGAATCTCATTTCTTATCGAACGCAAAATAGCGCGAGCATTGCATCCCGAAGGTTTACGTCTTTCAAGTCTACATGTATGTACCAATTCCCCCAATAATATTGACCCGTGAAATGGGAGGAAACAATGTACGCTAAACGATGTGTGTCATTACGCCATAAGAGTATAGTATACGAAGTAAAGTGCCATTACTTTTTGGGAATAGATTTCAACGTAACCTCCATGAACTGTGGGAAGTGGCTTGTATTGCAAGTATGCAGAGCTAGTTACATTTAGGTACCTTAGGAAACAAACAGTATGCGCCAGCAGACTTTAGTCCCACGTCATGCTAAACCGATATTCCAAAACAGCGATGTTTTTCGATGGAGAATACAGGCTGTCTCTGGTCAACAATATATCATTCACGACGCAACCCAGCTATGCACGAGTTGACAAAGGCCGGATCCCAGCTAAGCAGAGCCGAAGAACCGGAGCAACGGCCCCGCAGCGCCAAGACCACCAATAACCTCTAGAGCCGGGCGCACGTGTGAGCCGCGGTTCAAGATATGCCCTTCATAAAGAGGACTTATTTCCGTGCCTTGCAAGCCTGTCAACCTATGCCCATCTCAGCACATGCACGATTGATAAGAAGAGGGGTTCGCGAATGCTACTCTGCGATAATCCCTGGTGATTGTCGTCATTGAGAGAAGACTAACGATTCTTGATGTCCGGTGAAGGGATTCAATGTCCAATCACTGTTGAGATGATTACCCACGAGCATGGCCGTCTGAAAAACGCACGTGGCGAGCGTCCATCCAGAGCGAGAAACAAACGGCCTGAGATGGAAGCTGCGGAAGCTCATCCTAGTAATCTCGCGCCTGGAAACCTTTGTAAACAAAAGCTCATAAAGGGCGGCTCTCGCCGTCAAAGCTTAATGATAGTCCCTTCTTGGCAACCAACAAGTCAACTCTTTGTGGTCACTTCATTCGCGTCTCAATCCTCCAGAGCGTGATAGCCACCGTCATCATGGTTCAGCCCATCTTTGCTGTCTTGGCTCTAGCCACTGCGGCGTCGGCTGCCTTCACAGGTAACCTCAACTACCTGTCGCCATCGAAGCACCATGCGTCACTTGGTGTCTCTATCAACAAGGTCGCCAAGCGCACCTACGCCAACTCCCACTGGGATCCAGCCAAGCTGAACTTCACGCACGGCTTGGCTTCCGGTGATCCGTACGAGGACAGCGTCATCCTGTGGACGCGAGCTGCTCCGACAGCTGACAATGACAAGAGCAACCTGACTGTCAGCGGCTACGTCCCCCTATATGACCACAGCACGGAAGACTACGTGAAGAAGAGCGACTCTCCGGTCTGCGTTGATTGGAAAATTAGCACAAGCAAGGCTCTTGATGCTGTTGTTGACTCGGGTACTGCTTACACGAGCTCTGACGTGGATTACACTGTCAAGGTAGAGGCCAAGCGATTGGCACCTTTCACGGTCTACTGTGAGTGACGACTGTTCGACTTGTCCAAGAAGGGTAATTAACTTGCAGTAAAGACTACCAGTTTAGTATTTGCAACTCAAACAAGACGTCACCGATTGGTCGCACAAAGACAATTCCTTCAAAGAACTCCCGAGTTGAAACACCAATCAAGCTTGCCGTCTACTCATGCAGCAACTACCGTACGTCGTCGTGAAACTCCCATTCTAGAAGCCCTATAACTGTTCCGACTGACTTTGTGAAGCTTTCGGTTTCTTCAACGCGTACGGCAACCCAGTCCGAAAAGACTCGGTCGACTACGTGATCCATCTTGGAGACTATATCTACGAGTACGGCAATGGGGAGTATGGTTGGGGCAACTCAATCGGAAGAATTCCTCTTCCCGATCGCCAGATCTTCACGTCAGTAGCTTGTGTTACTTCCCTAGGGGGCATTCGAAGTTGACTGTTGGCAGTTTGTATGACTACCGCAAGCGCATTGCAACCTACAGGACCGACTCGGACTTGGTGGCCAGCCACCAGAGCTTTCCCTGGATCCCGGTTTGGGACGACCACGGTTCGTAGCAGTCTTTCGTTATGCGCCGCATTGACTAATGGGAAACAGAGGTTTCGGACAACACGTGGCGCGATGGTGCCTCTGAGCTCAACAACACTGAGGATTCCTTTATTGCTGATGGAGGTGTCTCGGTTGATCAGCGCAAGATGAACGCCGTTCGTGCATACTTTGAGTGGAGTATGCCTTCAACCTCAATCTAGCTTTGATAGTGATGCCATACTAACACCTACCAGTGCCTATTCGTCAAGTCGATATGGATGATAACCTCCGCATTTGGAGAGAGTTCAACTTCGGCAACCTGTTCGACCTTGTGATGTTGGATACTCGCCAGTATGACCGCGCTGTAGGTTTCACTCTTCTTCTTCGTGTCTCAGGAGTCTCACTAACTCTTCCTATTATAGATCACGGATGTTTACACTAACACCGACTACATCCACGCCATCTCCAACGACGCAAGTCGCTCCCTCATGGGTCCCCGCCAAGAAGCCTGGTTCTACAAAACCCTGCGCCAAAGCTCGACCCGCGGCGCGACCTGGCGCGCCATCGGCAACCAAATCATCTTCAGCCGCATGAACGAGAGCCTGGCCCTCGGCGCCGAAAACCCGATGAACTACGACCAGTGGGACGGTTATCAAGCGAACCGCAACCGCACCTTCCAGGTCCTGTACGAGCAGAACGTCGGCAACAACATCTTCCTCGCGGGTGATTCGCACGCTTCGTGGGTATCGGACCTCGTCTGGCTCGGTGAGCACGAGTACGATCCAAAGACGGGTTCCGGGTCGGTGGGCGTCGAATTTGCGGGTTCAGCTGTGAGCTCGCCATGCCCTGCTGGGCAAAACATTTCACTGGCGGCGGCGAACGCGGGATCTGCTTGGCTTACGGCTGCGAACCGAGAGTTGCAGTGGCAAGACCTGTTCTACAGGGGATACTATGAGCTCAGCATTGACTACGATGCTGTGAATGCTTCATTCTTTGGTATTCCTACGACGAGGATCAAGCAGGGATACGAGATTTCCCTCGCCAACTTTACTGTACTGGCTGGTGAGAACAAGCTGCACCGTTTGAACGGTACCGCGGCTGTCGGAGGTGTTGCTGAGAGTGGTAGCTTGAAGAACGGTCGTGTTGTGCAGACGAACCTGACGCATGACACTGGCAGCGGCGCGTACCTCAAGTACGACTCGCCTTGAGTCGGTGCCTTGAGAGAAGACTTCTAGGTCACTTATCAATAATATTTGAACTTATTGCACCCTTGCCAATGGCCAGCTCCTATAAGTTAAGCAATTCGAAACGGGCCTAGAAACCTCAAACCTTACTACCCTATCGTGCAACCACCGGGTGCGACCAATGAACTATCAAGGGGTTCGGTTAGCATGAGCAATATACTGCTGAAGAGGTCACTCAGTGTTTAAAGTAAGGATGTGAGGCATGAAATTTTGACTCAATTTGAAAAGTCACCAAGACTCCAAGAAACACCTAAAGCTACTCCTGACATTGACCCGTGCGGAGGATATCTCAATGTTGCCACCAAACTGCCACCGGAAGCGTAACCCAATGCAAGCCTAAACACCTTCCATGTACCCATCATCGAGTAGCGATTCGAATGCACTTCTGAAGTACTCCGATTAGTGGAGTCTGAGCTCACCACGAGCGGTGACGTTGCCACTAGCCGAGCCGCCAATAAGCATGCTGTTGAACACATTCGCAGCAGTCTCATCCTGAGTAGCAGCAACAGCCGCAGATTGAGCCTTGTTGCAGCTCTCGACGGTAGCAGCAGGCGCCTTGCAGCTGTCAGAAAGGCGCTGGCAGATGAAGCCAGCAATGATACCAATCTTCTGCGCAGATCCGTGGTTGAAGTCGCCCTGGTTGTTGGCGATGAAGGCAGCGGCCTGGCGATCGGGCAAGCCATCCTTGAAGACGACGGAGGGGTCGCTGCAGGAGCCGAAGTCGGTGGCCTGGCGCTTGAAGAAGCGCTTGCGGAGGCTGGCTTGGGCGCGGCACTGAGTGTTCTGCTCATCGCACTGAGAGACCTCACCGTCGAGCTGACCACTGTTGACGGCGCGGGCGCAGGCATTGTGCTGAACGTCGCAGGATCGGCCGAGGGCGGCGCCCTTTCCGACGAAGGTGTCACCGTTGACGGAGAAGGGGCGGTTGCCGGAGCTCTGGATGACCGGGGGAGGGGCGCCACCGAGAGAGCCGGTGAAAGTCTGGACGTTGTTGCCGTTACCAGTGTTAGCGTTGCCGCTGTTAGCGTTGCCGTTGTTGTTCGAGTTGTTTCCGTTGTTTCCACCGGCAGTGCCGTTGTTGGCCTGGGTCTGGGCCGCGCCGTTGTTAGAGCTGGTTGCATCGCAAGAAGCGTCGTTGGTGTTGGTGTTGGTGTTGGTGTTGGAGTTAGAGTTTGTGTTGCCGCTAGCAGGTGTGGCACTGTTCTTAGCCTTGGCAGGAGTGCTCGAAGTCTGTCCTCCCGTAGCACCTCCGGCCTGGCCGGCGACGGCGAGGCCAGTGATGTCGATGTGAGTTGCCTTCAGCTCACCAGTGCCGCCGGTGACGGTCTGAGTGACACCCTTAGCAGCGGCGGTGATCTCGTCGGGAGTCGCATCAAGAACAAGCTTCTTCTCAGTGAAGATGCATCCAGTAGGGTCGGTGTCAGTGTCACAGCTCAGACCCTTAAAGGTAGTGTCGGACTTGTCACCAGGAGCGAAGGTGCCGCTCTCGAGAGCAAGCATGGGATCACCGCCGACTGCGGCCAACTGCTTGGCGAGCGCGAGAGCAACTTCCTTGTTGTTGGCTGCAGCGCCATCGGCGGCAGGGTCCTGGTGCTTCTTGGACAAGGCGGCGATCTCAGCGTTGACAGGCTTGTCGGTGCAAGCCGCGCTGTTCACACCAACGCCCGCGGTGTTGCGCTCAAGAGTCTGGTAAACGAGAGCAGCGGACATGCCGCGGATATCCTTGGCGGCCTTAGCGTTGGTGAAGGCTTGGTCGGCAGTCTCCTGCTGGAGGCAAGCCAAGTTGGTGACCTGTCCGGCACCAGTTTTGGCGGCTGCGTCTCCGAGGAGGCCAAAGACGGGGTCGGCAATGGCCTTGGGGTTCTCCTTGTTCAGGAACTCGCGGGTGATGTTGAGGAAGATCTCGTGAGAGTGCTCCTGGGGAACCTCACGCTTGCTGATACGTCTCACATGGTGGTGACGGTGGTAGGGACTGGCCGCCACGAGACCGACGAGGGTCGAAGTGGCGAAAGCGATAGTCTGGTACTTCATCTTGATCGAGATTTGGATTATCGACGGTCGAGAGTGATTAAGACAGAAAAGACCGGCCTTCTGCGTGCTGTCGACTGACGTGGTTTGAAGCGAAGCGTTGGTTGTAAGATAGTAGAGTAAAACGAGGTCAGATCTGCTGGCGATGCAAAGAATGGAAGAGCTCACAGAACTCGAAATTGAAAAGAATGAAACGAAACGGTGCAAAGAGAATGTCGTATGAAGATGAGAAGCTATAGCCAAGAAGAAGAACTTTGGTGCCGAGAGGGAGATCAGCCAGGTTTATAAAGAAGAGATTGGACGGAAACCATGATCAGAGCAGATCCCTGGTGCATCAGTGGAATTCAGACGGTCCAGAGCAAGAGCCTCATGCTCGGCCAGCTTTGGTTAGCACACCGTTGCGATGAGACTTCGAAAGTTCAGACAGACGACGCTCTCCCCGGGGTATGGAGGCCGAGGGGTACGAGAGTCGAGACAACATGAGACGAGCCGAATCGGTTAAGACGGCGACTTAGAAGATTGTCAGGTACAGGAATCTATCGGACCCGAAATCATGGTATGGCATGTGCAGGGGGTTCAAAGAACAGACGCGACGGGTGACCATGTCATCGCCAAGTCAACCACTCATGAAGCAAGTCTGGTGGGGGCGCGAGGCCGTCATGGTCTGAATTGGGCGTGACCAGCTAGCGAACGACTATGGCGTGGCTTCATTTGCGTTCATTATTGCAACATGGGTCGCGATATCGGCTGAGTTTTTGGAAGTCTTGCGACGGGAGGCCGGCGCATTCGGTAAGGCGCCGCAGACTTCAGACGCCTCGACAACGATGTGGACGGAAAGATGAGGCGGAAGATCAGACAGATTCAGCCGCAGGTTGTCATAGAGCGAGTTTCGCCTGGGGTAAGGGAGGGAACGTTTTGCGATGGTGGCATGGGTGGGAGGGGAGAGAAGAAGGGGGAGGGTCTTCACCCGTGCGTCTCAAGAGGACCACCGCCGCTTATTAAAGCCGAGTTCCCCACGACCAAATGCTTAACTCATTTCGAGGCCAATAGCAAACCTCGGTGGCCTCCGGATCGCAAGCTCGCCGGGCGGGTAACTGGTTTGTAAGGGGTCACTTTCGCGTTCTCTTAGGGCTTAGCGCAGGGCCTACCCGCGCTACAGATGACTGGAAAGCTTGATTACTGCGTAATTCTGTAGGCGAAATGTACTCCAGATGTGCCTCTTCTCCCTGAAGATGCACTTTCTGGGGACAAGGTCACCCTATTCGGCATGTCGCTCCGAGCAGCAGATGGGATTCAACCGATCTTGCTCAGCGGATACTCTGGCCGCAATTCCTGGCCAGCTTTGATCCGAGTCCAGACGATATTGCCATCTATCTCTGCATTCTCTGAAAATGGGGAAAGTTGCCGCTAGTTGGTAAGCTTATTATGGTAGACAAGCGGGCATGCCCCTCAGTGCCTGCAGGAAACTTCACGTCAGACACAGTTGTCAAATGGAACTCAAAATGAGTCTCGACAACCTTACGAATGCAATTGAACCCCCAGACCACTGTCGCCCAGTTCCCTTCGTCGTCTTCTGCGGGAATGCGAGCATGACACCATCCCACTATCTGGCCAGAACTCTGTCTAACCCGTCGCGGGACCAACGTCTGTCAACGCTTCTGCGGCACCGAAAGTGGAGACTTGGACTCGTTGCCTGCCTTAAGATCTTCTGTTTCAGGCGATCAGAGACTTCAGACGCATCAGTGCCAAGGGGCGAAATCTCAGACACCATCGCCATGCGGCCCTAGCCACCCTAGTGCACATGTCTGGCTGGCAGGAAATCATCGCATAGAGCGACCATCAAAGCGGGGATGATTTACTTTATTGGCAAGCAATCATCTCGCATCACTCCCTCCTGTGTAAGGTAGTATGATCTACCTCGCCCTTCGGAGTTCGGCCTATGGCGCCGTGAAGTCCTTGATCGATTTTGACGTGGAATGACTCGGCTCTCGTCCATGGTGGATGGGTTCTCCAAAGTTGCCTAGCTATTGGACGACCGGACGATTCGATCACGAAATCACTCTCGTTATTAACCACAAAATGTGAGCCTTTCCATTCTCAGGCCTGATTCGATGCGAGCAAGCTGTTCTCACATAGACTTTAATTTGCTTGATGTTTTGATACTTGCTGCCAGTTTCCTTTACTTCAGTCATGATAACTTATTGTTCCTTCATGACTGTCGACGATGAAATAATATCGAAGGCGACTTATCATGAACTTTATCGGTTGTTATCATGCGATGGCATGCGACCACTCGTTTCTGGCTCCGTCTTCAGTCCGAACGCACCGGCCGAACTCTTTATCGGCAGTCTCTCTAGGAGAATCCCAACTTTGTTTCCTCCACGAACGATGAACTTCATCCCATTCTATACGCCTGAAATTTGGGATGCTCTCAATATGCAGCATACGAAACGTTGCTTATCAATATTGTGTGATGAACTGCCGTTCATGCTCCCATGACATGCACTGAATCGCCGAAACATGCCCCAGTGCAAACCTGTCACGCCTGCTGCGTTTCTTCTTTCTTCTCTCGGCCTACATATTTGGACCTCTGACGTTTGACAGCACTTGGCAGTGGAGACCTCAACACACCACGACTCTTCAACGCCTTCAGTCTCGACATTCCCATACATCCTACGCGTCCATTCGACTTATCAATCATGATCTCTCATGATACATCAATGCTGATTGTGTAATCATCGCCGTCTTGCTCCACCACCGTCACCGTCACACCCAGATCTGTCGAGGTGTATGCGCTCGCGCCCCCGCCATTCAAGCTCAACGGCGCATTGTCAAGATCATCGTTGATGCAAGAAGCCGTTCCCCATCCGGGATTCCCATCGAGGACTCGAATCGGACCCTCACCAGTACCAAGATCCGTCGCTACAGTATAGAGCAAGACGCCAGTCGTACATGAGTCTAGGTTGTTGCCCTGCTTCGACCTCACCTCGGCCACCAGCGCCATCGTCGCATTGTGCTTCACGACAATGGCTTTCATGCCGCCCATAGTCTCGAGTGGCTTGAGCTTATGCGTAGTTGATGAAGTTATGTTGCTGCCGTTGGGGGGAGCCGCCGAGGTAACGACGCACTCGATTTGATCGTCCGCAAGCCAGCCTAACCTCCACTTGTCCCATGCGAAGTAATCCGGGCTGGAAGCCCCCACGTTGGCCATCATGTCCCAGTTGCCGGCGTACATACCCGTACAGCCCGTCGGCATAGGGTATAGATCCGGCAAGCAGAAGGTATGGCCCGTCTCGTGATTCACCGCCTTGTAACCCCACCAATCGAACGTGTCAATGCCCATTGTGACAGCCTTTCTCGCAATGTAGTTCACATTCTTGGTATATGCGCCACCGGTGAGAGCTGCAGAAAGCTCAATACCCGTCGCGTTTCTCGTCGGAATGACGTAGAAGATATCAGTCAGAGGGCCCTCAGTGCTATTGACCTTGGGGACCGGCGTGTTAGTGACAGCTAGCCACTGCTCTAGCGCGTCTTGGACGTAAGCATAGTGAGCTTGCTGCGATAAAGGTCTGACGAAATTGTATTCGGCTGCGTTCTTGGGCATGCGGTAAAATCGACTCGTGTCTGCGGTGATGTTGAGCGACAGCTGGCCGTACGATGATGTGTTGAACCATTGCTGGGCTTGAGGTATCAGGAGGTCGTAGACTTCTTGCGGAGAAGCTTCTGAAGCAGTCTGATCCGGAAAGTCGATGAAGATGAGGATCGCATTGACGGTGCCCTTGCTGGGAGCGCAATCGTACTTGTAGCCAAAGCCAGAGCTGAAGAAGACGCCGTTTGTCGCTGGCAATTTGCAATATGAGATGTCGGCTCTTCGGTTAATCGACAGACTTGAGGCGACTGTGGTGGTAGCGAGCAGAATAACCCGTTGAAACCACCAACTGCTTGAGGCTCTCATCTCGTACAATTTTGAGCTGTGTCATAGAGGCGTCAAGTACCTTACAGTATAGATAGATCACGCAAAGAACCAGAGCGACTTGAAATTCCCATGCTTGTAATATGGGAATGTGCGTTCTTAATTACTCAAGATCGACATCCATCGCGGAGCAGCCCACGTGAGCCAAGACACCATTAAAGTTCTATGTAAAGTGCTTTTAAATATTGGTGGATCAGCCGCCGGTGAATACGAGATGAGCTCGCGTTCGCCCCAGCCCAAGGAATTTTACTCCACTCAGCTAAAGACGATCGCAAAGATATGCATGCTGGATATCCTTGCCTTCCGTCAGCTCCGATTCATCAACTTACCTTATGTATCGGTCGGAAACCCTGGTACTGGGGAAGTGGTTCAAAGATTCGGTAGCCCCAATGCGATAAAGCTATAAACAACGACCTGTTTTTTATAGCTTTATGAACATCCATGGCTTGCAAATGGATGTGCTCTTTGTCTACGATCTCAGAGGTCATAGTAGTTGTACCTTTTGTTGCCAGTGTCTGATGGATGTAGAGGGGAGTGAGATTTGCACGTAATGACATGGATTAATACTAGACCCGTGAGAGACGCCAGCAGAAAAACACCGCGTGGCTGACTTGGAGTGACGATCACCTAGGCGCCATTGTCACTATTGTCAATAGGTAGCTACTCGCCATTGGAATACTTCTTACGATCAAAATCCGCATAATCATACATGTACTTCAAACTTCTGCACCGCATGATGTCCGACATTAGAGAGATTTGGATTGACTCTCCAATCAACTATCAATCCTCGGCGTCCCGTGGATCATGCCGCTTCCAGTACTCCTCGTACTCATTCCAAGACTGAGACGGGAAAGCCAGAGGCACAGTGATCGGAGCAAATGGAATTCCCTTTTCCGAAAATTCTCGCAGGCGCGCTTGGGTGTTTGGCCGGGTGTTGTTCACGCTGTAAACCGAAATTCTGTGACAAGAACTGGTCACATGTAAGCCCCAATTCCATGCGGTGCGTACGTCGGGTGGTTGAGTGTTGAGAGAATTGTCCCAGCAGCGACAGACGATCTCAATCCAGCCTTCGACATCGCATGGAAGTTCTATCTCCCAAGTTCTCCAGGTCCACTTGCGCTTCTTCGAGAGATTTTCGACTGGCACAGTGTACCAGCTAAACCCGCCGTCGGCAGAGAGCTCAACCCGTTCTGGCCAGCGACCACCGCCCGAGTAGGCCCATCCCTTGCAGCGAATTTTGCCGTTGTGTATGACAACCTGCTTGGTCCAAGGCGACATAATGGCAGAACTGACTGGCATCTCCTGGATCTGTATGCCGTCCGTCATCTTGAGGTTATGCTTGCCGACTTGCTGAGGGAAGTAGAGGTACTCTTGGCTTTGAACAGGCGCACGTGTAGGGCTCTTGATAGCCTTGATGCGGTAGAGCCACTTGACGCTTCGTGCTCCAATGTAACCGAAGACGATGATGCGAAGGGGGTATCCATGAATGCGGGGGAGAACGTCGCCGTTCATCTCCCATGCCAGCATAACCTCGTTTGCCCTCACCTTAGACCAAGGAACACTGACGAGGTAGTTCATGGTCTTGTCATCTTTGAAGTAGGTGTCCGCACCGTAGAACTCAAGATGTTTGGCCCCCTCAATGAGTCCACCACAAGCCTTAATGACTTTTTTGAGGCTGATACCAACGTACTTGGCAGTCCCAATCGCGCCTTCGGCCCATGGGGCCTGAGGCACCTCGTCGCCTTGGCCAGGGTACTTGAGGATCTGTTCGATACGACGGGTTCCAGAGCATTGCATCGTAACAGTCTTTTCCATCCGAGGAAACTTAGACTCGTCCATGAGGTCATCCAAGGTGAAAGATCTCGGGTTGGCAACAAGTCCGTCCATCACGAAACTGTAGTGCTCTTTATCAATAATCGGGATGCCGCCGTGGTTTCGGACGAAGTGAAGGGGGTTAGGTGTGATCTCCTTGTCGGTCACGAGTCGCTTGGGAGGTTCGCCATTGTAAGGAAATTGAAGAAGATGGAGCATGTCGGCATGTTTTTCCTTGAGGACGATGTCCCACGAGTCGTCGGGGATACGAGAAAGAGCGCCGCCGACCGCCTTGTGCCACATTTTCCAATGGGTACCGGGCAGAACAGGATTACTCGCTGGGATAGGGCCGAGCTGGAACTCCGGGTTGGGAGGAAACGTCTGTGACGTCAATATTTTGTGCGCTGCTGCCTTCTTCTCAGGATAGTTTTCCCACTCTACGAAACTATTTAGTTCGGCGTTGTTAGCTATTGAGTGTGGCATCTTTTCATTTGTAGTTGACGGAAGTTGTATCGAGAACTCATCGACATCCAAATTCACTCACCCGGTCCAGCCCTGCCGCTCTTCAGCGAAGAGCCTATCGGGATCGCCTACTCCTTTGATGGCGGCTGCATCCTTTGTGAGCTCACCAAATATTTGAGGGGGAAGAGCCTTGGTCTGGGGCCCGGTCATGTCAAGAACAGGAAGCTCAGCCCCGGCTAGGCCCTGCTCGATCTTCCATTCATCGGGCCTGTTAGTAGTCTTCATGATGACTGGTGCTCTGTGGTGGAGTTGTTCTGGAGTAGGAAGACACTTCGAGGACAAAGATCAACCTTTCTTGAGACCTTTTACGCAGTATAAGAGAAGCCTCGGGAGTGCCGCGGTATTCGTACTGGGTCTTTAGCTTGAACACCTCCTTGCGTACTTTTCATCATGTGCTGAGCAGTTAGTGATTACGGATCCGGGTACTCAAACTGCGTGCTAAAAAGACATCCAAGCTCTAGATCTTTGTCTCCTTGTATCTGCATCGAGCCAATGATGACTGTCAGTCATTACACAGAGTTCAATTTGGCTGCATTGGTCAGGGCGTAACTCGAAACCCTGCTACGGCGCAAGAAGGATGTGCCTTCCGTCTCCAAAGCTAATTTGTGAGACGTTACTGGGGATAAAATCCGACTGGACGCAGCTGGTCAAACATACTTCTGAGCCAGGCGGGAGTCCTAGCGTGCAACTTCGGCATTGGCCTAGCTATTACGCTACGCATTATTGGAGGGGGTCCTAGCATGTTCTCACTCTTGAGAGTAACGGTCTCGCAAACCTTATCAGGACCGAGACACTGAGCACCGCAGCAGTACTTGGACAAACCGGTTGTTCGAGCGAGGGGAATGTCATGACGAACGCGCTGAGAGTGGTGCGGGGTTGATATGTGCAGGAATGACAGGAAGCATCTTATTTGCGGAAGAGTATTGCCAGTTAGAGGCGGTCGTTGGATTCGGGCATTCTTGGTACACTCAGCGGTAAGTCATAATCAAAAATTGCAGTGATGTAAAGTTCATCAAGGAATCAAGGAATATTGAAGCCTGGACAAGACTGGGGGTAGTATTTGGGCTGGCAAACTACTCCATAGATGCTAACAAAGCGACTTTCTACTGATGACAAATTGGCCATCGTTGGATTACGGATTCTGAAATAAAATGATACACCTATCAGCAATATCATCAAGTTAAACTCTGGCACATCAAAAAAGACTTGAAAGTCCAGTTGCCCTAAACCCTAGTCCGGTGAAGTTCAATGTGCAGTATTTCATTGCCTATCAATACATCGTGATGGGAAAATCATACAACTTATACAACACATGTATAAATACTTCCTCCAGTCTCATAAGGTTGTTCCAATCGACAAGATTCTATTTGTTGAAAAGGTGTGGCTTTCAGTGAAGCACGGGAAAATTTTATCCGAATTCGATATCTTGGTGGAAACTCGTCAATTCTAATGTACACATCCCAAACTGCAGTGACGACCTCACGCGCCTTATCGATATGAGCGATAGCAGACCCAAGTTTCTCTGTTTATAGGTCTCTCTTCATGGTTGTTAGCGAGCCGTGGTGTGCAAGCTCACAGCAACCAGATCCCCCTTCTTATTCAGTTTGAGATGTCTCGGCTATAATCCGCCCGCGGCAGCCAGCTGTACGAAAGATAACGTGCCGTTGTTCATCAGCTCGAAGTCCGCGAGAGAGTGGGAAGGCTCTGGATTTTGATCAAATGGGGTTGGACTCAGTATCCGAAACGTCGAATCATTGCGATTAGATGCGATGATGAATTTGGTGTCCGGCTGTAATGTCTCAAATTAGCTTGATAGATCGTCGGAGGAAAGACAGGTGGTTCATTACGGAAACTTCTATCTCAACTGCAATACCACTGGGTGTTACCGAAAATGAGCCGTATGAGATGATGATGCCAGCCTAACCCTCCACGTCTCGGCGCAATGCCATTCGATGATTATTAGTGGATGAGATTCATCTGCTCAAGCGGTTAATTAGCCACATCCGCCCATTCGTCCTAAATCTTACTTGGCGGTCTCGTTGAGACGTCCTAACCCCGGCATGTCAGCAGGTTGCATTTGAGATAGTTCCACCTAAACATTAGCCCCGATCATTCTTAGCTTCCCTGATCCGGTTCAGCCACCACAAACGTCGTAGAACCGAGCAATGGCCGGACTACCCTGAACTTCTTCAGCCCACTCAATTGTTTAACGAATAGGTTTCGGGTGCTTCTACAGTCCAGTTCCAATTTCATGACGTCATTAGACAAATGAGAGATCCCTTCGGCGATCAATAACTTACAAGGTAGTTGCTGATCACGACCTGGGTCTGAGCTTCATCCTAAGTAGGTCGTTGAGAACCTGGTTCGAGCTGGTGCGGGTGAGGGGTTTCATGCAACCTGCTGACATTCTCGAACTCTGACAACATTACATTTCGGGTGAGAAATGCTGCGGTGGATGGACTCCCGAAAAGCCATGGTTCCCAACTCCCAGTCCAGTCCCCTTCCCTTCAGTTCTAGGATTGGTCAAATTGACTGCACTTATTCACAACACGGTCATCTCATGACTGTATTCATAATTGGAAATTAAAGTAGATACGTACGACTTCCATCCTGTTACATAGATTCGACGCTGGCCGTGCGATCCAGGAAACAACGTCTGTTGGACAAGCCTATCTGACTAACCGACATCTACGGGAGGGGCCGCACGATGGGACATTGCGCTAAAACATGATCGGCATCTGTCCCCTGCCCTCGTCCTGGGTTTCTCGGATAGCTATCTGAACATTCCTCTTTGTGCGGTGTCTTTTTTTTTTTGCAACGTCATGCATTTAGTCACTTTGAGATGAGCTCCTGGATCGAGCTTCTGGGCAGGCCGCGTGGATGCGACTTCGGACTTGACCCATTCGTGCAAGTATTTGGCGGTGACTTTTAGCCAAGCACTTACGGATGCCTGTCCGGACGTAGCATGTTGGTTCCGATGTTGGATGGCCCATAGAAATAGGCAGTTGAAGAGCATCTTCTTAGTGTCAACTCAAAAGCCCGTGGATTGCGCGGGGTCCGCTCGACTGCACTGATCCCACTTGACGACAGTCTTTCTTGTCGCTTGCATATATGAAATGGATCCCGACCTGAGCTGTCAGCATACGGCTATACCCAGATTCTTTCCTAAAGAAGCAGCTCGGTCTGGAATGATAGGATACTTTGTATGCTGGTGACCAAGTATAATCGACATCCATCAGGCCCCCGAAGTCACAGGCTGAGTGCAGTGACTTCGTCTGGAAATACATAAATGCAGCAACGATCCTTCAAAGTGAATCGATTATTCCTCACACTCATTCCATTCATTGTTCAGATTGAGAATTCTTATCCGCAAATTATTACTATGGCAATCGGGTACCTCCTCGGCCTCCTTGCCCAGACACGCTTGGGTTTTGCGTCTGAAACGTCCATAACTGCGGGCTGCAGTCAAGCAGTGAGATATCCTCAGGATCATAGACCCTCTCAAGAGTTCCCTATACTGATCGACCAGCCAGTGCTCTCAACTCATGCAGGAGTTCGGCTCTGCCGTACATCTAGGTAGCAACGACCCTTCCTTTGCGATATGGGACATGAAGCAGCAGGAGGTCCTCCCCGCCTGCCGCGTAGAGCCGACCACCGCGTCTCAGGTCTCGAGAGTCGTTGAGATCACTGCCAACAACTGGTGCCGATTCGCGATCAAAGGCGGCGGACACATGACGAACCTGGATGCCTCCAACTCAGTCGGCGGTATCACGATCGACTTGCACCTCATGGATCACATTGAGATCTCAGAAGACCGCACCAAAGCTAATCTCGGTCCTGGTCATGTTCTTCGTGACGCTTACTTAGCACTGGAGAAGCACAATCTTACGATGGTAGGCGGAAGAACTGCAGATGTTGGACTCCCGGGGTTCACGATCGGTGGTGGACTCTCTGATCTCGGACCGCAATATGGCTTAGCCGTGGATAATGTTTGGGAATACCAAGTAAGCACCTCGACTTGATGAAGTTCCCAGGTTTTGGTACCTCATGGAAAGCTCTGAGCTAAATCACACTGCCACAGCTCGTGCTGCCCAATGCCACCATTGTCAATGTGTCGGAGACCGTCCACCCGGACCTTTACTTTGCTTTGAGAGGAGGTGGCAACAACTTTGGCATCATAACTAACTTTCGCTCGCGGCTCGTACCGCAAGGACAGAAGTGGGGTGGTGCAAGGACCTATCATATCAACTTCACCGATCAGCTGGTCGATCAGTCTTATCAACTCGCGACCAACTTGGCTACTGACACATACATGTCCTTCTGGACTCGCAACTCTTACGATGTCGCCAACGACCGATTCAGCATAAGCGTTTCGCAAGCGTACTATGAACCGGTCGTTGAACCTCCTGTCTTCACTGAGCTGAACAAGATCCCATATGAGACGAGCAATCTTCGGGTTGATTGGATGAGCAACCACAGTCTCGATAGCGTCTCTCCTCATGGTCTACGGTAAGTCGAGGTCCAAGGCTCAAGCCCATACAAAGAGAGTCTGACTGGATAACAGTCGCGTCTATGCTTCTATCACGTTCCGCCCCTCCCGTGTTCTGCACAAACAGTTGATCAACATCTACTCGGAAGAGGTTGTGGGTGTCAAGACCACTCCAGGTCTTTCATCGTCGCTTGTTGTTCAGGCCTTGCACAAGAACTCCATCGATGCCATGAAACTTCGGGGAGGAAACGCTCTTGGCGTCGAGTCTGACGGGCCACTGATGAGTATGCTTCCTCGCTATTGTCCCCTTCATTCAAATGCCCTATCTGGGGATTGTATCACTTGCTAATTGTCTTTACTGCCAAAAAGTTGCCCTTCTCACTCTTGGATGGTCTAACTCGGGGGATGATGCGGCCATGTATGCCTACGCCGACCGCATCATTAATCGAGGCAAGGCAGAAGCCGAGTCAATGGACTTACTGCATCCATGGTTGTACATCAACTATGCGAACCATAACCAAGATCCGTTCACAGGATATGGCGAGAAGAACAAGAAGAGACTCCAAGAAATACAGAAGTCGATTGACCCGAAGGGCATCTTCACCTCCCAGGGCTTGGTTAGGGGATCCTTCAAGCTCAACTGAGTCTGGTCTACAAATTTGAATTTTGCTATCGGGGGTTCGTCTACTTGCTCATACCTCCTCCGTATCGTACTGCGAAACTAAGCGATATCACATGAGGTAAATAATACCTGATGGCATACTACTAGGGTATGTTACATAGCTCGATGTATCTTAGTTACTCTAAAATCGCAAGTAATGTGTTCACAACGCCGAACCGATGTCTGAATTTTGTAATGAGTGAAAGTTATTTTATGTTTCTACAAGAGCGTATCGTCAACTCCGCCAAACCAATAAGGACAGTGTAGTGAGTTCTTGGTCATCATTGGCCGCGGAAGCAATGTGCCGAGTGCCCAGAAAGCGGAGTGGATTTCCGCGGACTCGGACGACTCTCCGATGGAATACATGGCTGCAAAACGATCTTGCTCAACGCCTTATGGACGCCGACAAGTCTTAATCGAGCACCATTTCACGGACATGTTGACCCTAATTGGTATCTGGCAGCAGGAATCCATGTGCTAAGGTTGATAATGACTGCATCTACAAGGTCCACGCCAATAGGATCCTATGCGACGCAGTGATTTCCCAGACGCCCCCCTCCGATCGTGATGTGATTCCCCAAACGCCACGACATGTAGTATACACAAATGCACCGGGAATAACATGCAGGTGGGTCAGTCAATTGATTGATTGAGAATGTGAAGAAGTTTTCTGGCCGCACATCCAGACGGAGTCAAATCCTTGACGATGTTTGCTCGGGTCAGGCGACATCATTCATGCATCCTGCTGTACAAGCCGTACAAAACTTCAGATTTTTTATCGCCCATGCCAACAACTTGACTATTTATGCATGATCCCTTGTATTGGCGTATGGCCCTGAGCCCCTTGAACCTTTCTGCTGCTATCCTGCTCCTCATTCGCCTCGTTTGAAGGATGTAATGCCTCATTCAGAAATCCAATACCCCTTTGCCTGTGGGGCGACTAAAGACCCGTACACGTATAGTCCAGGCTTCCGACGCGAAGGTGCATAAAGGACGAAAAGAGGGGTCAACAACCTGGTCTTTCATATTCAGTGTTAATTGAGTGCTCCCGTTTCCCGACGACCCTTCACTCAGGTTGGCTCGAATTTGACTTTCTTCGTATAACAGACCGCACCACCTTATCATCAAAAGGTCTCGCAAGCTCTCGAAGTCCCAAATTCTCTACACGTATGCTGAATCGTCAATCTCACAATGTGTGTTGACCACAATAGTGGAACCGGTCAGACACCGGGAACAGTCACACAGCCCAACAATCTTACCGACCAGGAGGTCATCATCGAAGCCGATGAACAGGTATTTGCTCCTGCCAATGCTGTTTCCTCGCCACGCTTTTAACTCCCATACTTAGGATGACGCTTCTGAGATCGGGACGGTGAGTTGACGTCCAGGTAAACATCGCTCAAGGTAGGTAGTTGATCTAACCATCAAAGTGGATGATGTAGGAGAGCGTAGCATCATCAAGCACAAGCGTCACTAGCTCTATTCTTGATTATCGTATTGAGAATGGGAGAACGTATCACAAGTATAAAGACGGAAGTGAGTTCCCGTATACTTATCGCGTTGGCATGAGTTATCCTTTTTGGGTATGTTGTCTAACTGATAATACATGAAGAATACAATCTTCCCAATGACGAGGCGGAACTTGAGAGACTTGGTAGGCCTCTTCTAAGCTATCCATCAACAGCATGACTGATATCTTAGATTTGCAACACACTCTATTCCTGCTCACCTTCTACGACAAGCTTGGCAATGCTCCTCCAAATGACCCAGGATCAGGGGTCAGAAGGGTTCTTGATGTCGGTACTGGAATTGGCGCTTGGTCGATTGACTTTGGTGATGAACATCCCGAGGCCGAGGTGCGTTATCAGTCAACCCCAATAGGACTTGACCTGGCTTTTGACGAATGAATCAGGTTCTTGGCATTGATCTTTCCGCGACGCAGCCATTATTGTTAGTTTGTCATGTTTGAACAAGCACTAGTCTCATTGACTGATTGACCCATCAGCACGCCTCCCAACGTTAAATTCGAGATTGATGATCTTGAGGAGCCGTGGACTTTCTCGCGACCCTTCGATTACATCCACAGCCGAATGATGAACTCGTGTATCAACGATTGGAAACAGTACATTGATAAGTGCTACGAGTATGATTTCTTAGTCGCCTATTTTGTGACATTTTACTGATCTGAACAATAGAAATCTTACGCCGGGTGGTTGGCTAGAGGTGAATGAAATTGACGTTGCTCCTCTGTCAGATGACGGCACCTTGAAACCTGAACACTCGATATCGCGCACTGTGCGCTTGCTTCAAGAAGCTTCAGACATATTTGGTCGTGCCTATCAAGACGTCAAGCAATTGAAGTTCATGATGATGGAAGCTGGCTTTACGGACGTAACCATGCGACACTTCAAATGGCCAACCAACTCCTGGCCGAAGGAAGCCCGACACAAAGAACTCGGGGTATGGCATAATGAGAATCTCTCCCAAGGGTGGGAGGGGATTTGCATGGCGCCTCTAACGAGAGCTTTGGAATGGACTAGGGAAGAGGTCATTGTTCTGATGGCAGAGAATCGCAAAGACTTCGCGGATCGGAACATCCATGCCTATTTTTCAATGTGAGTTCAACCGTTATGAACAGGACCCATCGCCTTCTCCCGGATGAAGGGTTTCACTGACAACCCTAATTAGCTGGTCGATTTATGGCAAGAAGCCGGAAGAATCTGAAGAGGTGACGTCGAATAACACTTGACATGAAAGAAACTCGCTAGTGTTGGCTCAACCTCGCCACACGTCAAATAATTAGCATCTCGCGTTCTATTGCAAAGTTACTCGATCATCAGTTTTTCACATCCTGCAACTCAATCCAAAGCACATGAATCCTGATTTTATGGTGCATTGACATCATTATCTATACGAAACTTGAAGATAACGCTCGATACGGCATGTGCCACCAATATGCTTTTTCCGACAAAGGTACCCGACAAGTCTAGGGGGTGTGACCGCCAGCAGAACCATGATCAACTCTAGGCGCCCGTGAATAGAAGATCTGTTAACACGTTTTTTTTTTATTTTCATGAAATCACAATCGTAAAAAAAATAAAGCCTTCAGATAGGCATGTTATGCCAAAATTCAAATGGGAGGGGAGCGGGCGACGCCTGTCGTGCAACTGTGATGATCACGCCACCCAACATGTGGGCTATGTGGGCTTTCGCAGGACTCAAATGTTTGCTTTCTGTGCCGCACGCTAGCCGCCGCTTAATGAGATATGCTCCTCACGTACCAGGATCCTTTCGCCAATGCCTGTTTGAGTCCAAGAGTGGGCGTGCAAGCAACCAACAGAGATAGCAAGGTAGTTGGACGACCTTGAACCAACACGCAATGCGCACCTGTCTCCAGTCAAGAAGAGGGGTAAGTTGAGTCCCCAAAAATCTGGCATCAGGCCGTTCTGCATGTCTCCTCCCTACTTTCAATTGCGCAGACATGAGGCCGTAGTCTGTGAAGTCAGCAAATTTGACTTAATGCATTCGGGGATCAAACGACTGCTGTAGCCGACAGCTTCTTCATCCCGGATGGGGAAAGAGAGAACAACATGTCCCACAACATAAACTCCACTTTCGCATCCGCCACCATTGTGGCTGACGAGGTGAGTGGTCTCCGAGTTCGATGGACCAAGGCATGCATATTGACTGGACACTCCGGCTTAGTGCATATATGACAGTGCATCACCAAGCGATGTGAGTACATGTACCGATGCGACGCATCGAGATTGGGCGATTGGAGCAGGCTGATGAAGTGACTTCAGGAATCGGGTCAGGGTCGCGTCGCAGCCTCGATACTCGAATCCAGAGTAGAGAATGGAAGAACGTATCACAAATATAAGGACGGAAGTATGAGCGATCTACTATTTGCGCCTGTCGGTGTGCTAACTGATTAGAGTACTGGGCACCCAACGATGAGCGAGAGAAAGAAAGACTCGGTACCTACTATGATGACGCTCTCCCTGTTCATCAATCTCGGCTGACAAGAGAATCAGATCTAGTGCACAATCTTTACCTCTTGACTTTCGACAACAATCTTGGAACTGCACCGCCTAACCAACTGGACTCGGGCGTCAGACGTGTGCTGGACGTGGGGACGGGGACGGGGATATGGGCGATTGAGTTTGGAGAGGACCATCCCGAGGCCGATGTTAGCAAAGAAAACTGACCATCCTCCTTATTAGTTGCAGAGATTCTGATCTTCATTACAGGTTTTGGGAATTGATTTGTCGGCTTCTCAGCCCGAATTGTAAGAACTGTGGCATGGACTTTGCCCGGCAAGCTTCTGACAAGCCTTATTATGTTCTAGCGTCCCACCCAACGTTCTGTTCGAGATTGATGATATCGAGGAACCATGGACATTTACGAGGCCCTTCGACTATATTCACAGCAGAATGATGAAGGGTAGTATTAGAGATTGGAGAACATTTCTCCAAAGATGTTTCAAGTTGGTTCTCTTTAGTTTGCTCACCCCTGTCACGACTTCAACCGTTAACAGCTCGGTGTGCCTAGTAATCTCAGCCCTGGGGGTTATCTTGAGCTGAATGATATAGACTTCTTCCCTCACTCGGACGATAACAGCATCCCGGAAGGCAGTAAGCTCATGAAGGCTTTTGAGCTCTGCTTCGAAGCACTCGAAGTTCTTGGCTCCCCGTTCGAAGAATTCGGGCGGTTTGAGACTCTTCTCGCAGAGGTTGGCTTCCAAGACATCCAGGTCCATCGCTTCAAGTGGCCTACAAACACGTGGCCCAAGCACAAGAAATACAAGTTATTAGGCGAGTGGAACCATGAAAACTTGTCACCCAACCTAGACGGGCTCCTCATGGCACCATTAACGAGAGCTCTAAACATGAAGCCAGCCGAGGTTTATGTCTACGCCATGGAGGCTCGTAGGGAACTCGCCGATAGAACTATTCATGCCTACTTCGATGTGTAAGACTGAACATTGTTCCTGATTTCGCTCTGATTTGTTGCATATTCTCTAACTTACCACTCTACAGCTGGTCAATCCATGGACGGAAGCCCATGTGGTGCTAAGATCAGGCAAACCTCTACTTTGCCAATATGAGATTCTCATGACGCTGTCACTTTTCGGATTACATCATGACTGCAGTATCTCTAAACGCTTCCAATGATGGAATCCTCAGCTTCAGAGCACCGTGTTAAGGCGAATATGTCTATGGTGGTAGGAGTTGAGGAAAGTTATCACGGCTGAGCGCGAACTATATCGAGCTTCCATGGCTGGTAGTACTGAGTGACCAATCACTTTGGGAAAGGTTGTCGTATGTGGCAAAGGCGTCTAAATCCAATTGATCAAGTGACAGAATGCCTGATTGTCACTATGGTGTTTCAACACAAAGATGAAACGAACGAAAAATGGTTCAGGACCTTGGTGGATAAATCTGGTGGTCATTTTTCACCCGCATCAGAAGATGGAAAGTCTAGACCATCATATGATGCAAATACAGATGCAATTTTCCAGCTTTCATATATTCATTCAGAACAATCATTGTCATGCCATCGGGGCCGGGCCGGTGAATTCAAGTGGTCGGAACCCGCCGGGCCGGTTGACCCACATGATATGGGGCCGGGCCGGCCGGAGAGCGAGGGAATTCCCGCTCTATCCCGCGCGCACGATGGGATAGAAAGGCAACCTGGAGTACCCATGACTAATATAATGGAGCCGAGGATAATTCTCGATTGATCGAGCCCATCTGCACTCCTATAGTGTCGACTGAGGGGAAGGCATTTCGACTGCGGGGTTGTATATAAACTGCCCTCCGTAGTTCCGAGGCACTCACTAGCGCCAATATCTCCTGCATGAGCCTCGGTGGGTTTGATGCACGACCGGCAGCCGGATCGCCGTCGATTCGCATCCCCGCAATGCTCCGAATCTCGGCTGAGACCGCTTCGAGAATGGGGCGATTCAATAAAAGTAAGAGTTGTCGCACATATGGTCAACGACGAATCTGGCGGCGGGATATATAAGAACAAAGTTGCCGTGTTGAACGGTTTTGAACCAGCTGTTCCACTTTTCTTCTTTTCTTCTCAGCTGTTCACAAAAGGCCAGAGATAAGTGCACATCACATCACTCAAGGCACAAAATGGCAGACGTCTTCGCAAAGCTCCAGGACAAGAGCCTACTGGTTTCTTCCGGTCTCGTCGCCGGCGAGTGGAAGAATGGTCAGGATGGCAAGACATTCCCAGTCTACGAACCGTCAAGCGCAACGGTCCTTCAAGAATGCGCCAACTTGAGCCGGCAAGACTTCGTCGATGCCATTGAGAGCGCTAAGAAGGGGTCAGCCAAGTTCCACGAGTCAACAACAGCAAAGGAGCGAGGTGCTCTGCTCAGAAAGTGGTTCGACCTGGTTATTGCCAACGCTGACGATCGTGAGTGGATTTGCAACATTAAATGACCATCTGCTCAGGAATTGACACACTGATGCCCTCTCAGTGGCCTTGATTCTTTCCTTGGAGAACGGCAAAACCTTTGCCGAGGCTAGAGGCGAGGTCGTTTACGCCGCCTCGTTTATCTCTTGGTTCGCTGAGGAAGCGACACGGTCATACGGCGACACTATCCCCTCATCCTACGCCAACACCACCGTCTTGACATTCAAGGAGCCTGTGGGCGTCTGCGGAATCATCACCCCTTGGAACTTCCCAGCAGCCATGATCACCCGCAAGATTGCCCCAGCCTTCGCCGCGGGATGCTCAGTCATCATCAAGCCACCAAGCGAAACCCCTTTCAGTGCACTGGCTTTGGCCAAGTTGGCACTCGCTGCTGGAATTCCGTCAGATATCATCCACGTGGTGCCTACCAAAGATAGAGAAGCATCGATGGAGCTCGCGAACAACCCCATCGTGAAGAAGCTTAGCTTCACTGGGTCAACTGGGGTCGGCAAGATGCTCACGAAGGCTGCGGCGGGTACGATGAAGCGCGTGAGCATGGAGTTGGGGGGAAATGCCCCGTTCATCGTCTTTGATGATGCGGATATCGATCAAGCTGTCGAGGGTGCCTTGATTTGCAAGTTCAGATGTTCCGGACAGACATGCGTGGTAAGTCTCTCCAAAGGTAATGAATTCCTAGAAGTCGGATTAACAGATTTCCTTAGTGCGCAAACAGATTGCTCGTCCACGAGGCGGTCAAGGACCAATTCATCGAGAAGCTCGTAGCCCGCGTAAAGCAGTACAAGCTCGGTCGAGGAATCGACGAGGGCGTCACACAGGGCCCCCTCGTTAACGCCGCCGCCGTCCAAAAGGTCGACGCCCACGTACAAGACGCGCTGAAGAAGGGTGCTGTCCTTCACACGGGCGGTAAGGCACCAGAGGGGCTCAAGGGGTACTTCTACGAGCCTACAGTGATCAGCGGAGTCACAACCGACATGGAGGTCGCACATGACGAGACCTTTGGCCCGCTGGCGGCTATCTTCTCCTTCAAGACGGAGGCAGAGGCCGTGGAGCTGGCGAATGCTACAGAGTACGGCCTTGCGGGCTACTTCTTCAGCAAAGACATCTCCCGAGTCATGCGTGTAGCGAGACGATTGGAGTGCGGCATGCTGGGCGTCAACACCGGTCTCATCAGCGCGGCGGAGGCACCATTTGGTGGTGTTAAGGAGAGTGGACTTGGCCGGGAGGGCAGCAAGTATGGACTGGCAGAGTACCAGAACATCAAGTCTGTTACGATTGGCAACCTTGGCTTCAACTGAAGAGTCATGGCATGTTGGCTTCTGATAATGGGCAAATCTGGGGCTTGGGACTGGGCGTTTACTCTGATGACATGGTCTGCGGGATGGTGTAATGGCACAAAACAAAAATTTCGAGGTTTTGATTCAAGTGTTTATCCCATCTTTACGCCGTTTGATACAGCATGATGACGTCCGTGAACACATAGTTCCACACCGCGCTGATCTCCCAATGCACAGACGAAGCTAGAATCAGCCTACCCCGTGCTCAACTGTCGCCACGCATGTTTTTCTGACTTGACTTGGTTGAAATGTTCTAATTAGACTCTTTGCGAGTAATTAAAGAGATGGGGTAAGAATATATAATCTTCCTGAATGATTTCATACAGTCTCCCGTAACTCTGCCCAAAACTCCAGACGTAACCGTTCCCAAACCATGCACCCTCCCAGAAATAAGGTACCCCAGAAACAGTAATCCCTATCCCAAAATTCCATTTCCATTACACACCGATGATGCAACCGACCTTTTTATCCAGCCATGACAACTCCGGTCTTGCTAGCTTGCTTTTCCAGATATCCCCGATGCTCCGGTTGAATGACAACCAACTCCGTTTTTGTTACGCCGGCGGCAACTGCGCCCTTTGCCAGCTCCTCTTCTATCCTCTTCAAACATTGGTTTGCTGGAGATGGCTTGTGCACTGTCAAGAGCTTGACGGCGCCAATGGCCTTCTCCAACGATTCCACATTTCCTCTGTACGATTCACAAGGGCTCGGGAGGGTAATGTCGACCTTTCCCTTGGCGAGACACCTCACCAGTGACCCGAGAAGCATGCTGTTGCACTCCTCGGCGTCTGGTGAGCTGTGGTAGTATCCTTTCATGTATCTGCATCCGTCTTTGAGACATCGGTAAAGGAGGACGAAGTGGTCCAAGTAGGCCGAGACCAATGTTTGGCGGTGCTTGGCGATGGTTTCTGTTGACTGCCGTGTTAGCGATTTGAGGACCTGACTGAGTTGATCGGCGGAGCAAACTTACCAAAGACTTCCGGGGGGCGAAGGTAGACAATTTTTTCGAGAGGAAAATTGTATCCCTCTGGCCCAGGCTTCCAGATGCGTGCCAAGTGTCCAAACACGATCCTTCCTTGGAGGTCAATCATAGACTCGTAGGTGATTTTCTTGTACATGGTCTCAAAGACTTCTGTGTCTCCCAGCTCCCAAGCAACGCATAGCAGATGCGCATTGTCGGTCTGGTGCTTGACGCCCTGCATCCACGAGCGCGCCCATGGGCGAACGATGACGGTCATGTCGTACTTCTCCGTGATTGTGAGGACGTTGTAGAGACGCATCAATGGTAGCTTCTCCGGAACGAGGTTGAAGTGGCCGTGAACGATGTTTAGTACGATTTCCATTGCTTCTGGCGAATCTTCGGGCAACTCGACGGACCACTCTCCGGTACCCTCCAGCGGACGAGCCTCCAGGAAGCGACCAAATAGCATGGCCTTCAGCACAGGAGAGCTTCGACCAAGGGCCCTTGAGCAGACGACGAAATCTTGTGGGTGTTCTTCAACGTCGCCGCCGACGGAGAGTCTCAGGTCGCCGCTGTCATCGAGATAAATGGTCGGCGGTGAAATTAACTGAGCCACTTCTTCTGTTGGCTCCGTCACTTCTGTGATCTCAGTCACCGATTCCGTGACCACCATGGTGGAAGAAGCCATCTTGCTAGCGATGACAGCTCCATCGAGGGTATGATAGGGCAAGGAGAAGGACGCGCCCCCGAAGAGGCTGTTGGCCGGAGCTGTTGAACACATCGCGAACTGGCTATACGATCATCTGAGGTTTCGTCCAAAAGTTCTGCTCACAACAGACCTCGTGAGAACGGAAGAGCGACGGGGTCGCGTTCAGTTTATCATTACTTGACGGACGCGCGAGATCTAGGGTATCACACACTCGACGAACCGACCGGGATGTCGTCGCATCGGCAGAGGCATAAAGGGGACCGCAGATCACAACGTTGATGCTCCGATGACATGACTAGTCTTTGTTCGGGAATCGGTCCCCTCTTTTTTCTAACTTTAGGCGAGAGATGGGGGGACGGCGCAAGTTTTTGGGACGAAAGGTATCTTAAACAATGCGTTATACCTGTTGGTCCCAATGACCGTTTGCTGCCCGACCGGGCGAAAGACTCACGAGGCATGAACCCGTTGAGTGTCAAGGCATGTACACAAATGACAGTAATTAGGAAGGGGAATACATATCATGGAAAGGGAGGAAAGCAAGCCGCCCTCTCACAAACGGTGGTGCTCCAGCGCGGGTGCGACCCTAGGAGCCTTGGAAAATCGTAATATTGTCGCTTTCAAGAAAATCCGGGTTCTTTGTGAGATGCAAACAAGGAACACGGTGGAACGGAGGTCGGAACAAGCAAGATGTTGAAAAGCAGGGCAGAAAAACGGCGTTCGGACCCTTGCTCGGCCAGGATGGTGGCCCCTTTGGTTCCCGTTACGCCAGGGCGGTTATGTGGGTGTTGTGGTCCCTTGCTTCCGTACCACACTACAAACAAAAGAGTGCCTGGCGATGAAACCCCGGGCGGCTATCCTGACTCGGGAGCCCTGGTGTTATTGCAATAACTCTTGCGACGAAGAGGCATAGCTTGCTGTGTGAGGTTGGTTTGGCAGCACGAGCCGATGTAAGACCCTTTTAGACCTCTGCTCTGCCGGATTGCAAAACGTGGTTGTCAAGACCCTTTTAGACCTCTGCTCTGCCGGATTGCAAAACGTGGTTGTCGTCATTGCACGTTTCCCGGCAAACCCTAACCGTTCTGAACTTTTTGATATGTCACCCCCTTCTCGACTGGAGTTGAGTCCGAGGTTTCTTAACCCATGAATCGTCAACAACAGAAGCACAAGATTTCTTCTGCGTCGACTCGGTTACCCACTCCCAAAATGACTTCGGTCCCTGAGCCTGGGCTACCCTGGACGAGTTTCTAAATAGAAATCTTGTCAGCTCGAAAGTTGGAATATCTGGGAACGGGTTAACCCCCGCAACCCCCGCCTTCAGGGTCCTACACACCACAATGGGAATCGTATCATTTCCTACTTGAGCCGGCAGGGCACCCCTCCATCTGCAGACTTTCCCAATTGAACTCCGAGCTCCCCTGCGCAAGTGCCGTCCGTCTCCAACCGGGTCTCCAAGGCACGCGACACTAAAGAATTTTGACTGCAAGCTTGGCTTTTAGCGCCGTTCGGGCGGCGGACCCGAATACTTGAAAGTAGCGTGATATTCCGGTGAGAGTTGATGACTTGAGAATGCGACCTTCCCTACTGGACAGCATTGAAGCCAAGTTTTCTACATCTCCTTCTTTTTGACTTCGATAATCTCGGTGAGCCGGCTCGGAATCAAGGCAGCACCAGTGTTCCCTGTTTTGTTGTGTCCCGGTCAGCATGACTGATCTCTTGCGTCTCCACAAATGTGCACGACATTCTTCGTTTCCACATGATTAAGGCTGTGTATTGTGCACTAGGAGGTCCCGATGTGGAGATGTCCCTGGAGGTCAAGGGACGAAAGGGGGGCCTACGGGGAAAACGTCCACTTACACAGCTCTCCTCTTCTTCTCGTATGGTAAACTTGGCATAGAAGCGCTGGAGATTCGGTAGATGCTTTTTCGAGGTGGATCACAACAGCTTCTGCTCCCTCCTTTGTTTTGACGCGCTCCAACGCGCCAGGATCGTCTGGTCTCACATTCAACATCCATTTACACTGCTTATCTTGTAATCTGAAGCACCGAGAGCCTCGGACCGACGGACTCAACAAAGAGTGTTGGATGTTGAGTCGAGTCGCGCATCCCTTACTCACGACGTGCATTTGACTATCGTTCATGAAGCACAAGGGCGGCTATTGATAAGCCTTCCTTGATTATGTGGACTTCTGTAGGTACTAGATAACTTGGGGTGTTCGAGAAACTGAGTAGTACGCCGGGAAGCATGGGCATGTAAGGTTTCGAATTCGTCGTGTCACAATCTCAAGTACGGCTTCAGACTCAGAAGGAAGGCATCCAGAGTATGACTGTATGAAAGTTACACCCCTGTATGGTCTGCTTTTGTTCGCGAAGGTAGATGTACATGCGGACGACTCGAGATGCGGATGTCTTGGTGGTGATGGAACACTCTGTAATGAGTCTGAGTAGACTGATAGTCGGCTTGTCCATGCTGGCAGCAGTAGTTTCATGCACCTGAGAGTTCATCGTGAAAACCCCGTAACAGATGGCGTGACCCCAATACAGCACCGATCACAGCAGGATACTGATGGCTCTAATATCACAATCTTCAACTCTTCATGGCGTCTGGAGTCTACAGCCGAAATTCACTTTATCGTGCTACCTGCAAAACATAAGGCGGGACTTTCCACCCTAGGTACTCAGGTATTACTTACCATTTCTGACTTGAACGACCTTACTTCATGCATTCAATCATACGGTGCATCCGATCGATAGCGCCATCTAACCTCACAGATTTGGGGTTGTAGCAACCCTAGGTATTCATATTTGACAGCTTGAAGAAACGGCGTTTGCCTGCTTCGTGTTACGCCAGCAAGCGACGGCAACCCGCAGGATAGCGAGGATCACGCAGCTCTGTTTGCAATCGCCCTGGCCAGTGCATCTTCAACCGGAATGACGTCTCGTGTGGCACTGAAACCAGCGAAAGGTCTCATCAGCAATGTGCCGTGTCATTGTTATTCTTCTCTCTTGACAACCTATGAGGTCGTATTGATCACACGCTAATTATTGGGTGCCTCTCACTACAACCACCCAAGGCTTGGATGAATAAACGTCTGAAGTCACGCGAAGCTGGCCAAGTTGCTCAGGTCTGCATACTCGTCCTGCAGAAAAGACGTTGTAAGCTGCAGCTCAGCTACCCCAGCTGGATACACTGCAAGGTCGACACCGGAATGGATCATCTATGGGCATATGTAGCGATGCGGGGGATCTGTAGGGGCATGGGCATATGTCACTGTATGTTCGCCAGGCTCCAGATTTTCCCGGATCATCTGCGTGTTAATGATCGCCTCGCTAAATCCATTAGTTTTACATGAGCGAGAAATCAGTCCCTTTGTCCCATTCAAAGTGAGACTGTAAGAAAGATGGCATCGGTAGGCGACTGGCAGGTTAGTATGAACCCTGAGTTCCTTGAGCTGTGATAACAGATGAGATATGATGCCAGAAAATTCCTTGTCACTCGGCAAGGCATTGGAGGTTTCTAAAACCTCCCTTTCTTTGGCGTTCCATCTCTCGATCAGTTTTAGTCATGAACCCATAGCTTGGCCTTCTACTTCGCCTGCCGGAACCAACAGGTACCTGACATGAGGCAGGTAAGGATAAGACGTTTGCCGAGATGCAGAAAAGCTACGATATTGGGACTTTCAAGCAACAAACATCACATCATTTCTGATTGAAATTGAGCTCAACTTGTCGTGAGTTCCGGGGACTCGGTCCTTTCCAAAATGGTAGGTACCGGTATGAATGCAAGCAAACACTCAAATACAGTGCGTGCATTCAACCAGACTCTTGGATCGCAAAAGATCGTAGAGAAAGTTGAGTGAGTGACCCATGACGCGATTTGATCACACGACCACCAAGGGATCTTAATTCACAGACGGTCTACTCTCGTTCAGAAACCGATAACTTTACACCCATGTGCTGTTTGGCCGCGAAAGTTCTGGTGTAGATACCTCTGACGGTACGTATCTAAGTAGGCAGCCAGATGCACGTGGTTGATTCGGACTTGGGAGAAATATGTAAATCTCATACTGCGTAACACGCCAATCAGCCCCGCTTTACCAAAAGAAACATTGGAAAAAGGGTCAAAGGTCCCCGGCTTGCACTCATATACGCCATCATGAGCCCATAACGATTCGGCGGACGTCAAGGCAGACACATGAACGAGCGTACCTTAGGTACCTTGGGTAGCTTCATGCAGTTGAAGCTGCCAGGTGCCTGATGGGAGGCAACCGTGGGGGTGAATGCCTGCCCTGCACGCTACCTAGGTACCTATCTTAGCAAGGGACTTTGGCCTCCGGGCGGCTGTGAGTGGCTGAGAAGGTTAAGCGAACCGGCAGTCCCACTGTAACGTCCTTGCGTTGGTCCGTGCCCAGCTGTCGGCAGTGACGTGCGTTTAGGCTCGATCAAAGTTCCCCCTCGACGCGGTTGACGGCCCATGCTGAACCATCTTTTGACTGTCTTTGGAATTCATCAATCGAGAATCTAGAAGAACTCCGGAATATCTGACGACTACCTTACACCTGAGATATGGCATCTTGGGTCATATATATGCCTCAGATCCAACAAATGCACCTCGACTCCCACCAGAACTTTCGAACCATCCATCATAGGTTACTCCGTCGAGGTTGAAGACGCCACCATGGCTGCAACGGCGCTCTTTGGCCGGCTTTGACTCACCGGCATCTGGGGCTGAGTAGTCCTAGATCCCCAAAGTCAGCACATACGGACAGTACCTTTACCTTTGCAGATAGATCGGATCAGCCACTAGGACAACGCCGAGGCCAATCTCATGCCCCATGGGCCGCGAACCAATATGCCTCGAGTCCTATCATATGCGCCGTTGGCGAGTCTGATGCAGCTTATGTGGCATAAGCTGTCAGGCTTCAGGCTTCAGCATCAAAGCAACAAGGCTGCCAGTTGAAAAGGGATTGATCCTCTTGATTCAATTCATCTCTCATCTCGCCATCTCGCCATCTTCGCTTTCCCTACTCGGTTCAGATCCTCAGCCTGAGATCTTCCACCATTTCCTTCCACGGCATAAACAAATCGCCAAGATGCATCTCAGCGACATTCGCGACGCGTTTGACAAGGAGAACCTTTCCGAAAAGGCATGGCAACTGCGGTGCAAGCTTCTTCCCCACAAAGAAGAAGTCGGGCGCCCCATTTCAGATATCGAGGGGAGTCTCTCCGACGACGACCCAAAGAAGCAGCAGTCGCCTAAAAACCCCACCTTCGGCGTCGATGCCACCGTCAAGACCTACTATGAGGGCAAGAACAGCTGCAACGGCATCTACGACTGGGTCGACTTTCCTCCCAAGCAGATGAGCAAGAAGGCCGCAGAGAGCCAAGATCGGCCCGCCATCAAAGTCTACAAGATCAAGGACATCGAGAAGCCAGTCATGGCAGGTCGATACTCGTTGGCCTATCACCAAATCTCTATCCAGAACCCGACCCTCGTCGCCGCTCTGGAGCCCATTTTCAAGAAGGAAGATGTTCACCTCGATCCTAGCGATACTGCTACCTTTGAGGCTCCGTTCCGACCTCTCTTTTTTTGCTACGATGAGATACTAGACCTGTACAAGACGACGGACGATAGCGCGCTCAAGGGGTACCTGCAGCTCCTAGTACGGACTCTGGATGACATGCTCGGCGAGACGCGCGAGAAGAAGCGCAAGCTTCAGGCCAGCGGTCTTATCAACTTCAAAATGGCCTGGACGTACTTCCCGCGAAACTCCGTCGTGTACAGCAGCGCTCAGAACACGGAGCTGTTGTGCAAAGTAGAAGATACATCGTACGAGAGGACGGATCAGGGCGTCTTCCTAAACATCAAGTGCAAAATTCTAACATTCAATGGGGAGAGCTTCGTGTGGTCCGACCAAGAGCTCCAGATCCCCAAGTTCGCGGGAAACCGGCCGATACTAGAGCTCACTCACTATCCTCTGCAGTTTCATTTGAACAAAGAAGAACTACTGCAGAGAACTCTAACGAGGGGCAAGAAGGTCTTGGATCTTCAGGGGCTGACATACTGTACCTACAACGGCATTGCCATGAGCCCGAAGAGCAAGCACAATGTGGAGGGCAGAATCCTCATTGATGTTGTCGGGTTCAACAAGTACGAACGGACTCAGGGCAAAAGAGAAAACGACGACGCCGAAACGCGACGGAATCGTGTGACTAAGAAGCGCATTATCTACGATGATCACGGCGAGCCCGAATTTGAATCGGAAGGGAAGGAAGCGAAGAAATCAGAGGTCAAAAACGGGAGACATCTTGGGGAGAAGACGCAGTTGAAGAACAAAGAAGAGATGCTTGCCCGTCCGGACGACCTCGTCTTTATGTCTCCACTGATTGAGGGGTTCGCCTTAAAGAACAAACTTTGGCGTAAGTTGCTCAACTCGAGATTCCTAATTCAATTTATTGACATCTACAGTCGGTTTCTACGTGGAGGATATCGAGCCCATCGTCTGGAATGCCCAAGCCTACGATCACCTCGTCTACGATGAACAGCAAAAGGACCTGGTGCTATCCTTCGTTGAGAATCACGGCCACGCGAACAAGAGCGCAATGGAAGATGTTATCGTTGGCAAAGGCCAAGGCCTCATCATTCTCCTCAGCGGCCCACCGGGAACTGGCAAGACACTCACAGCCGAAGCCGTCGCAGACAGGACTCAGCGCCCGTTATTCTACCTGCAAGCCGAGGACCTTGGCATCAACCCATCGACGCTAGGCGAGAAGATCAAGCGGGTATTCGAGATGGCAACCGAGTGGAACGCTGTGATTCTACTCGATGAGGCAGACGTATTCATGGCGGAGCGGAACCCCAACGACATTGCGCGCAACGAACTTGTGTCGATCTTCCTACGCGAGCTAGAGTACTTCCGGGGGATCATCTTCTTGACTACGAACCTGTACAACACCATCGATACGGCGTTCCGGAGTAGAGTGAGCTTGCACTTGTTGTTCAAGGCGCTGAGCCCTGATGCAAGAGAGCTTATCTGGCGGAAGTTTCTTGGAAGGTTGCCTCAGCAAGAGCTATGTGAGGAAGGAAAAGGCCCAATGAAGCTGCTCTCGGACGAGGATATCAAGGAGCTTGGGCATTGGCAGCTCAACGGTCGGGAGATTAAGACGGCTGTCAAGATGGTTTCCAAGTGGTGCGATCATAAGAACTATGAGATGAGTCTGGCTAGGCTGGAGAATGGCATTCGGGTGACGAGCCCCCACGCTTCGAAGCAAAAGGAGTCGGATGGGGACGATGATTTGTATGTTTAATCACGGGTTGAACGGGAATGAACTGGATATATGGGCGATTGATTTCACATACCGCAGCACACAGCTTACAGCTTTCCTTTCCTGTCGACTTGAACAATTGGTGCTCCCGTCCTCCATGGACGCTTCCGGATCTGGGGTTCTGGGTCCATAGGTGCACCTTCCCTCAATTAGCGTGCAAAGTACCCGGCGCCGGCCCCACAATCCACTAAATCAACTTCGTCTCATGAACAACGTCCCACGGATACGTCTCCCTTTCACCCCAACAACACCACCAGATCAATCCGACCCATTTCCCCGAATATCTCATTCGTGGCACAGATATCTTGGAAGAGCCTTTCAGCTTTTTCAGGAAAGATGACAGACATGGACGTCGATTCAACACCCAATCGACGAACCAACACCCGCACCTTGGCGAGCCCACCAGCTGGGGGCACTTCGACGCCAACGACAGCATCCAGACGCTTCCGTTCGGCTTCTCAAGCCGAGGCTGCTCGCACATCCAATGCGTGCCAGATTTGCCGGGACAAGAAGGTCAAGTGCTCCGGCCAGCGCCCGTGCAAGTATTGTGCCAAGCGGGGTTTGGATTGTGTGTTTTCCGCTTCGGAGAAGAGGAAGCTGTATTCCGTCTCGTACGTTCTGCCCTTGGTCCCCCGACGGTGCTGACGGTCGACATCAAAGACGGTTCGAAGTAGCTAAGAATAATTTTACATGATACAGACAGATTAGGGAGCTCGAGAATAAAGTCGCCTATTATGAGCGACGAAGAGAAGAGAGGTCGGCTCCCGAGGCCGCTTCTTCGACGCCCCCGGCTATAGCACCAGCACCGGCGTCGTCATCAGTGCAGCTGCACGATGTCGAAGATTCTTCGAATGAGATCACGGTAATGCATATGTACGACCATCTAGATGGTACCATTCCATGCCAATCTCCCGCTACACTGGGCCAGCCTAGGCCGATAATGTCTCAGTCAACATCATCTCCCACACTTGAGAGGACGAGAACTTCCGAGGCCCAGCCTCACACCACATCATCACCTGCTCGCGCAGGTAGAGGTAAGTGCAGATTTTTATACCGTCTATCAGGCGACCTCCCGGGCCTCGGATACTAATCCCGGCGAATAGCAATCGCACCCGAGTCCGCCCTCTCCTCAAGCGAGACTTTCGGGTCCGAGATCAAGACCCTCCTCGTTTCCCGCTCCAATCCTGGCTCTACCGCGAGTCCGCAGTCCACCGTCAATGCCGCGACTCCGCTTCCGCATATCGACAGATGCGCGCTAGAGATCGCGATCGGACGTCAGTGGCCGCCGGAAGAGGAGGCCCACGCGATGCTCGAGATCGTCATCTTCAACGTTGGTATTTCGCAGCAGCTTTTCGACGTACGTGCCTTTTCGGACAACTTATCCGTCTTGTATCACGAGTCCAGTGCCGATGTGCGGTTGACAGAGACTTGGATTGTGGAAGCACTGCTTGTCTTTGCGGTTGGGAGGCTACTGCAGGGACGGGATGATGAGGACGGAGAGCTTCCGGGGACGATGTACTTCAGGGAAGCAGTGAAGAGGACGCCTTTACTGAGTGACCTGCGGAAGCATGGGACTATTGGGGTGGAAATCATGGCTTTGACCGCGTTATACTTGCAAATTTCAGATCGGAAAGATGATGCATATCTGCATGTAAGTTGAGTCCCAATTAGAGCCGGGGAGTTGCAGCTGCTGACGCGTATAGTCTAATACTGCCTTACGGCTGGCCATCAGCCATGGTCTACATCGGTCCAGCAGCTCTCAGAATCCACGCCGCTCGGAGAATGTCCATCGGAACAGGTTATGGTGGTCTATCTACATGCAGGAAAGGTACATCCCATTGTGAAGCCATACACCGGCGTCAAGCTCCCATGCAACTAACTCTCTACCTAGGAGGTTGTGCGCCGCAGGCGGATTCCCCATGTCCATTGAAGACTACGCGATAACGACAAAGTCCCCGTACGAGGTGTTGGGATTCCCATCCGCCACAGCATTGGACGTCAATGTTCAAGCGGCGAGGATTACCGGAAAGATAACCGCCAGTCTGTTGCATCGCATCCCGCATGTGCTGGAATGGGACTGACTCCATGATAGCAATCTACTCACAAAGAGACGAGCCTGAGACAACTTTCATCAATAATGTTCAAGATATTCTGCACTCCTTGTACGAAGTGGAAAAGAACATGCCATCCGAGTACTCGATGGAAATCAAGCCCTCTGGGCTGACCGTTGCAGGACGGCCCTTCATGGAAGCCGCCACCACAGTATCAAGAACTAGCTCCAGCTTACATGTCTCGGTCTACTCGGTACTCGAAGGTCACTGCCTATAGACAGAAGACGTTGACTAACGCATGTAGGCTGTAATACATACCGTTCGGCCAATCCTACTGTACATGGCTCGAAATAGTCGCGATCCAGATCGCGAAGACCACAGCGGTGTCAGGCCTGCACTTGTACGACTTGCAGAGATTTGTGTCGAGACGGCAAGCAAGATCCTCGTCATCCTGCAAGAACTTCGGAAGAGTGAGATACTCGGTGAGTCTGGCTTTCCGTTTTCGATATGCTTCTTTTCGTTGACAGTGTTTGGTGCATAGCAAAGAACGCATTTCTCGACCTAGACGCAACATTCTCCGTGGGATATGTGTTTGTCCTCGTTCAAGCCATCAATCCTGGTAAAGGGCTTGGGCACAAAGGTATCGACGGATCAAGGGCCATTCTCAGGTACCTTGCCGCCCTGGGTAATCGACCTGCAGCCAGACGCTTGGCAGAACTCGACCAGATGTGTTCGCATCTCGCCCTGCCTGTCTATCAATCTGGCATTCAGCCCCTCGAAGAGTCACTCATGGACCTCATGGCGCAGCCCTTTTCATTCTCGACTAGTCGCAGACACAGTTATGCGGGCCCAGAAGGACCATCAACAAGCGAAGGTTCGGCAATAGCGAACATCCAGGGGCTATCAAGCGTCCAGGATAGCACTGATTCAACGTCGGAAGTCCAGGACATGGATGGCCAGCACGACTTTGGCTTCAGTGGCGCTGACTTGGCGAGTATACCTCTGGAGGGCGAGAACAGCCTGTACTGGGTCTACCACACCCCCGGATTCTCGTTTACTGGAGTCGAACAGACGGATTGGGAAGCTTTAGAGAACCAGATTCCGTGGCAGCAATGATAGCTGGATCCTTCGGCCTCTAATGAAATCTAGTCCACCGCAAAGGGCCCGGTACCCGGAACCGACATTTTAAACGTATCCCGGTGACTTGTCAATGTGGAAGGAGGCTGTTCTAACGCGGACACGTCTAGCTCAACGCCATCATTCCGAGCCCGAAGAACCTGACATGTAGCAGTGCTCGGGTGTAGTTCCCGAGGGCAAGTGGACCCGCGGTCTATGCCCCGGGCTCCTTGCACACGATACAGCCAGCCGATAGTAGAGGACGCTGGCTTCGTATCCCGAGCGACTCGCTGAACTGCACCTCTCCAGATTGCCGGTTTGCGGAGAGTCTGGGGCAAACCCCGCAATCCTCTGAGCTCCACGATGAATCAAGCGCTTCCCCAGATAATCACCCCGGAATTGGGAGCACTAGAGAGCGAGGAGGCAGGCATCTGGGCTACTTAAGTTCCTCCTGGCTGTCGACTTATTTCTCCGTTCCCCAGACCTGAGACTTCTGACAGGACACTATCTTGTCGGGCTTCCACTCTCCATTCTACTGGGCCAAAGAATCGACACAGTCGCCGCCGACTACTTGGCCGTGCCACCTTACCGAAAGATAATTTTCGAGTTTCATCAACATTGATTTGACAGTTGGCGACTGGAGCACGACGAGATGGCGAACAAGAAAGACGATCCACAAGTCGTTATGGCTGAAGAGCTCGAGATGACCAAGACGCAAGACGAGGAGCATGTAGCATTTGAACAAATTAGCCCCGAGGAAGAGGCTGCTCTCGTTCGAAAGCTTGACCGAGTCCTGATGCCCTTGATGGCTTTTGTCTACTTCTTTCAGTGTGAGTATCTCTCGATCCACATTATCACAAGCCTTCGGACTGACCATACTCCCCGACAGATCTCGATAAGCAGTCCATCAACTACGCCTCAGTCTTTGGTCTCCGCAAAGACCTCAGCCTTTCAGGCCAAGACTTCTCCTGGATTATTTCCCTTTTCTACTTTGGACAGCTTTGCTCCGAGTATCCCGCCGCCTACCTCATGGGCCGTCTCCCTATAACGCTCTTCGTCGGTGTTACAATTATCGCCTGGGGTGCCGTCGAGATGACCCTCGGCGCCACGCATAACTTCTCGGGCCTTGCGGCGGCTCGCTTCTTTCTCGGCTTTGCCGAGGGCGCTGTCTCCCCGGCCTTCATCATCATCACATCAAACTGGTATCGCCGTCGCGAGCACCCAATTCGCGTAGCGACGTGGGTGTCCATGTCCGGTGTTTCGCAGATTCTCGGCGCGCTGATGATGTACGGCATCGGCGGGGCCGCGAAAATGGCGCTGGAGAAGTGGAGGGTGATGTTTCTTGTCAGCGGCGGGTTGACGGCGGCCTGTGGTGTTGCCTTTTGCTTGCTCATGCCGAGGGATACGACTACAGCGTGGTTCCTGAACGAGAGGGAGAGGGAGATCGCGACGCGGAGGCTGGCCCTTGATCGTGGGACCAGAGACCGCGCGGAGTTTAATACGAAACAGATGTATGAGGCGTTGAGGCAGCCCACGACGTGGTTGTATTTCATGATGGCGCTTTGCATCACATTGACAACTCCTATTCTCAAGGTAAGTGCTTTTCCTCATCCTTTTCCCAGTAAAAACACCTAACATTTGCTTGAACAGTTCTCCTCTCTTGTTATCAACGGCTTCGGCTATTCCCCCTTCACTACAATGCTCGTCGGCCTCCCCGGTGGCGCAATCAGCTTCGTAACAATCTGGGCCAGCGCCCTCATCCCGCGATCCTTCCCAGGCACGCGAGTTTACACCTCCATCGGTCTCTCGCTCGTCCCGCTCCTCGGATCCGCCATGCTCCTCGCGCTGCCGCTTCACGGCGCAGAGTGGGGCATCGTGGCAAGCACCTGGCTCGCTGCTTGCTGCAGCTCTCTCCTAAGCTCCACGGCGTCAATGATGGCGTCCAATGTCAAGGGGAATACCAAGAAGAGTGTGGTTAGCGCTGGGTTCTTTATCGTGTACTGCGTCGGGTGTATTGTCTCCCCGCAGGCCTGGACGGAGGGGGATGCGCCGCGGTATACCAAGGGGTGTATACTCAGTATTGCGAGCTGGGTGGGGTTAATTATCACGTATGCCGTGTATGGGGTTGTTTTGAAGAGAGAGAATGCGAGGAGGGACCGGCTTGCCGCGGAGGGAAGATATGAGTACGATGTTGGTGGCCATGACGGAGGCGCGGAGGCGGTGCAGATGGGTGTTGCGGTTGATTCTGACTTGACGGATGTGCAGGACAAGGCGTTCCGTTATAACTTGTAGAACTGAGCGCGAGATGTGCGTCTCTTTCCGAGAGTTGATGGAAGATGGCTGGAGCTTTGTATACATTCTGTTTGGATTCACGCTCGGGGTAGAACCAGATTCTAAGGTAGTTGCAAGCTCATCTCGTTTACGTCCATTCATTACCAGTACCTGCCCTCTCAGAGCGCATCTACCTTGATGGAAGTCCATCACCTCTATGAAGCCAGAGCCTTGCTGGGCTACTGTGTCTTCTTCGTCTTTGCGAGTGTCTTCTTGCGCTGCTTGATCATGTAAGTGTACATGGTGTAAGATCCTAGACCCAGACGCATGTATTAGCATCAAGGAAGCACGTCGTGGGAACCCCCAATGATGGGGTGGGGGTAGGGCTTACCGGGGATATACAACAGCAAGCAAAAGTAGAACAGAGGCGGGATTAACGCGCTGATGCGCGAAGCGGGTTCAATGGCGAGGTAGAGCAGCCAGAATTCCGAGGCGATGCCGATGGGGTATAGGGGGTAGAACATGGTGTATCTTTTTCATCATTAGTCTAAACATGCCCGCGTTTGCCCCTGCGTTACTAAAAGACACGGGAAGGCAGGGAGAGAGTGTATGAAACGTACCGCACCCAGACGAGCGCATCAGACGCCTTGCCGTGGAGGTTCAGAGCCAGGTAGGCGTAGCGAATGGAATCGGCCGTCGCCCATGAGAGCAGGAGGGTTAGGTAGGCTGTGGAGGAGGCTGTGGTGGCGGGGAAGCTGTGGCAGACCATCCAGACTATGATTGTGCGGGCGACTACTTGGAGGGCTGTTGTGCCTACGGGGGATTTGACGAGGCCTGAGGGGGTGAGTTAGTTTTGTCTTTGAGAGTGTGATATCTCATAATCTTATAGCCCAAGTTTTTGGCGGAGTAGTTTGGGAGGATTGTGAAGGGAGGTGGGGTGTTACGTACCTACGGCTGAGTGAATCACTTCAATGAGGGTGAGTGTCTGCACCCATCGCGCACGAGGTTCTGCTGCAGCATAGACGGTGAGTTTACCATGGGAAGTGGCGGTGGAGATGACGGTGAAGAGGATTGATGCCCATAGTGCGGCGGAGAGGGTGTTGTAGAGGGTTAGGTATGCGACTCTTGGGCTGCTGCCGCTTGTTTGTAAGTCTTTGGCAGCCATTGTGCTGGTTGGAGGGGTACGATATCGCACGAGTCACGTAGCGGTTGTGAATAGCCTCAGTTTTCACTTTCTGGGTGCATGTGAAGGATGGAGCTCGGGCCATCAATTGACTTTTTTTTTTTTTTTTCCTTCGTTGCGACGTGGTCTGCAGATTGAGAGACCCCTGTCTGGCAGAGGTGTGCTGACTAAGGTAAAGTTGCTACCTGCCTGTGCTGGCGCAGAAATCATCCACCGCGAGAAACCACAGGGGAAAAGGCAGAAAGGAGCTGTCGGAGGAGAAGAAGCCGTCTGGCCGGGTAAGCCGCAAGGGATGAGTAAGAAGAAGCCGAAACCCCCTGCAAGGCGGCGTGGGCGGTACGTATCCCTTTGGTGCCGTCTTTCGGCTGTCAACTGCGGGTGATGAATTGGCCAATGATGCGGCGGTTTTTGGCAAGCTACGGATCCACTCGGGCAGCTCGTCCCGGGATGCGCATGCGGAGCCTTTCCGATTTCTTCCCAGGTGGTTACCGGGGGCCACCGAACGCGCCGCTGCTTTTGCAGAATCGACTTAAAGCTTTGGTACAGATAAAACATATTTGGGGAGATGATGGAGAGCAAGGTAGCAAAGAAATATCACAAAATCTAGCTTAGGATTATTGACTGACAGTTATTGATTTCTTGAGGTACGCTATCGCGAAAGATCGAGTGGCTGGTTAGGTGACTTCTGAGGAGGGAACCAAGCCCGCAGACCCCAGGTACCACAGTGGTCGCACGGCACTGAGATGCCATCAACATATGTGTAGGAAACTTGCAGTGCCGTACTTGACGAGCAATAGAATCAAATTGAATGAATGTTCAAGTGAGTCTCGCAAGCTCCTTCATGACTGATTACCTTTGTCAAGAAAGTAGCACTAGGTATCTAAGGTATTTGGTACCAGCTCTGCCTGTAATCCTAAAGCGGCAGGTGATTCTGTCACAGCGCCTAGCAAAGCTCCAACGTCAAATTTACACTACGATTTTCCCAGTCCCTTTTCTCTGACCGGGGTCAAAGACTCATTCAACACCACCAGAATCACTCAAACCTCTCGTCGAGGATCGCCGGGCGCTCAACCACCACGCTCTTCCCCTCTCCTCTATCTACAATCGCCAAGATGATGCGCTCCCAGCTTCATGCTGTCGGCCGCCTGGCCAAGCCCTCCGCGGCCTCTCCTAGACTCGCATCCGCAGCTCGCACTCAGATCACCAGCGCAGCATCAAAACCGACAGCTACAACGACGAGATCCCTCACGACCGCGACGCGCACCACCTCGAGACCGATCGTCCACGCCTACGCCGCCCTCTCCTCCTCCCAATACCGCTCCTTCAGCACCACCCGCATCCAGCATGGCGAGGTCATCATCACCGTCCCGCAAATGGCCGAGTCCATCACCGAAGGCACCATCGCCTCCATTGGCAAGCAGGTCGGCGACCGCGTCGAGGCCGACGAAGAGGTCGCCAGCATCGAGACAGACAAGATCGACGTCGCCGTGAACGCTCCCGAGGAGGGCACCATTGTCGAGCTCTTCGTCGCCGAGGGCGACACTGTCGAAGTCGGACAGAAACTCGCGCGCATGGAGACGGGCGGCGCACCCGCCGAGAAGAAGGAGGAGTCTCAACCGGAGAAGAAGGAAGAGCCCAAGTCCGAAAGCAAATCCGAGCCCGCTGCCGCGCCGGCTCAGGAGCAGGAGAATGAGCCCGAGGCGCCCAAGAAGGAGGAGAGCAAGCCCGCACCGGCACCACCCAAACCCGCTGCTCCCCAACAACAACAGCAACAACAGAAGCCTGCGTCCGAGGTCCCCTTCGGCGCGACGGGCTCCTTCTCCCGCGGCGAGCGCGTCGAGAAGTTGCCGCGCATGCGCAAGACCATTGCCACGAAGCTCAAGCAGTCGCAAAACATGACGGCCTCGCTGACGTGCATCGAGGAAGTCGACATGACCAACCTGATGGCCTGGCGCGCCAAGAACAAGGAGGCCGTCATGAAGCGCTACGGCGTCAAGCTCGGCTACATGGGCGCATTCACCAAGGCGACGTGTCTTGCCGCGGAGCGTGTGCCCCAGATCAACGCCGCCATGGATACCGAGAAGGAGCTTATCACGTACAGGGATTACGTTGATATCAGCATCGCCGTGTCTGCGCCCAAGGGTCTCGTTACGCCTGTGCTGCGTAACGTGGAGAGTTTGGATATCGTTGGTATTGAGCGTGGTGTCGCTGAGCTGGCCGACAAGGTAAGTCCCACACAATGATTGTGCTCTGGAGAAGTACAGGCTTTCTAACAGCAAACTTTACAGGCCCGCAAGAGCAAGCTCGCCATGCCCGATCTCGAGGGCGGCAACTTCTCCATCAGCAACCCCGGCATCTTTGGCTCCATGTTCGGAACCCCCGTCATCAACTACCCCCAGGCCGCCATCTTCAACATGAACGGCATCAAGGAGCGCGTCGTCGTCGTCGACGGCAAGCTCGAGATCCGCCCCATGATGTACATCACCGTCACCTACGACCACCGCCTCATTGAGCAGCGCGAGGCCGAGGCCTTCCTTGGCGCCGTCAAGGGTTACATCGAGGACCCCTCCAGCCTTCTTCTCTAAACATGGAATAAGGTCTCTGTTTGTTTTGCGTTGAGGAGAGACAGTTCGTGGGTGAAGGGGCATAGACTGCGCACGGCTACGGTTTCTTGTAGCATCGTGCCGAATTGTATTTTACTTTGTAAATCGGTGGAGTGGGATTGGATTGACAGCATTGCCGTGCGGGCACTGGGGGCGTACGATTGCTGCATCTTAGAAACCTTAGATGGGGGGCTCGGTCATAGATAATCCGGAGAATCCAGCGTCCAGCATATTGCCCTTTCTTCATTGCAACTACTTTCTAACTCTAATCACTCTTGGCTCACGGAGACCTGATGGAACTTGGGCTTTTGATACCAGGCATCTAACAAGGTAGCAGCATTAAGGGTGATAATGGAGTCAGTGTTTGACCACAGTTGCCATTATGTCATGCAGTGGCTTCTGGAATACTGCGATTCAAACGCCATTCTCTTTTCAGCATGATTCAATTGGCATGACAGAGATATGTTGTCGTCGTTGTTAGTTGTCCGGGTGTAGAAGCCGGAGGAGGCTGACGTTGGTGTCACGGTGGATCCACGCAAGAGTCTCGGCTTCGATATCCGAGGGCAACTTTCGACATCCTCCAAGCCAACAGCAAGTAAAGCGCTTACCTGCGAGGAGCATCGCCTCGATTTTGGCTCGGGATCGAAGCCAAATGTCTTCAGTACATCCGAGTTGCCGACAATTTGCCCGATTAGCCTACTCGGTTGACTTTCAACTCGAACGACGGCATGGAGATCGGTGCACCATCGGTATGGGGTTTGTCACGGATCTTCCCCGCGTGTAAGTCGCGTCGAACTTGTGGATATGTATACTTTACATCTAAACTTCAGTCTTCGTCAATCATCGAAAGAGCGAGCATCGAGAACGGAGACATGTCACATTCCTCTCAACTCGATTCTCCTGTCAATCGTCAAGGTTCCAGATTCTACCAAACTGAAAGCTAATACCCATCGTCAGTTAAACAACCGACACGATGATTCGACCCGCCTGCTCAATCTGTAAAGGCCATACAAAACGAAACCTCTTGCACGCGAAGACCTCGTTTTTACCTTCTTCGAGCTTCCGCAGCATCTCGTCCCCTCTCAGCGGACTCGGAGGGTCAAGAAATGGCCGAACGTTCACGTCTACCAGATCATGTAGACTCGAGCCCTCGAGAGGTAGATCCTATGCTACGGCAGCAGAAGCAGAGGAACCAAGGGTTCTGCCGGTAAGATCTTGTCCAACAGTTCCTCGGTTATGCCCTCGGGACTAACGATCTGCCGCCACCCAGAATCCCATAGACTCGTTCCTTCAGGGAGGAACAGCGAACTACGTCGACGAAATGTATCTTTCCTGGAAAAAGGACCCTGAAAACGTCCATATATCATGGCATACATATTTTCACAATATGGAAGATCCCTCGGTACATTCGACGGAGGCCTTTCAGCCACCGCCCGGCATAATCTCGCCCAGGCACACACCGGCTATCAAATCGTCTCTCGGTGCGGATTCGAGTCACGTTGTCGACGCTCTGAAGACCCAGAATATCGTTCGAGCGTTCCAGCGACATGGTCATTCAGCCGCAAAGATCAGTCCCCTTGGCGAAGTTGGCAATGCGACAGTCAAGCCGCACGACGATATTCCGAGCACAACAAACTTGAGCAAGTACGGCTTCACCACCGCAGACTTGGACCGCGAAATCGTCCTAGGTCCAGAGCTTCTCCCCCATCTCGCAAAAGATCACAAGACGATGAAACTCCGCGACATCATCGCCACTTGCGAGAGGATTTACTGCGGCTCCATCGGGGTCGAATACCACCACGTCTCCGACCCCGCCAAGCGCCAATGGCTCCGAGAGCGCATCGAATCGTACCACACTTCGCCCCCCTCTGCCGAAAAGAAGAAGCAGATTCTCGACAGCTTGATCTGGGTGACGTCACTTGAGCGCTTCCTTGCGGCAAAGTTCCCCAACGAGAAGCGATTCGGCCTAGATGGCGCAGAGGGGCTGGCTCCCGGCTTAGCCGCGCTCATCGACCGCTGCGCAGAGGCGCATGGCGTACAGGATATCGTTATGGGAAGCTGCCACCGCGGGAGAATGAACCTCATGAGCACAGTGTATGGAAAAGACTACGAGACGCTTTTCAGGCAGTTTGCGGGCACGGAGGCGTTTGACACCGCAAAGGGCCAGACTGGGGATGTCAAATACCACTTTGGCATGGAGGGCGAGAGGGCGACTTCTGGCGGGCAGACGGTCGGCATCTCCATGTTGCCGAACCCGTCCCACTTGGAGGCCGTTGATCCGGTCGCCCAGGGTAAGGCTAAGGCTGTACAACATCTGAAGGATGATGTTGATCAGTCCAAGGTGATGTTCTTGGCTCTCCACGGCGACGCCGCCTTTTCTGGTCAAGGTCCCGTGTACGAGACGCTGAACCTCTCGGCTCTGAAGGGCTATGAAGTCGGCGGCACAGTCCGGATCATTGTCAATAATCAGATCGGATTTACCACCGACTCCCCAGACTCCAGGTCAACGCCATACTGCACCGACTTGGCCAAGTACATCGAGGCGCCGATCTTCCACGTCAACGCCGACGACCCGGAAGCTGTTGTGTTCATCAGCAAGCTGGCTGCGGACTGGAGGGCTCAGTTCCGTTCGGATATCGTCGTTGATGTCGTCTGCTACCGGCGGTTCGGACACAATGAGATTGACCAGGCTAGTTTCACGCAGCCTGAGATGTATAAGAAAATCGCCGAACAGAGGTCGTTGATGGACCTATACATTGAGAGGTTGATCAGTGAGGGCGGATTGTCTGCTAAAATGGCAGAGCAGCAGAAGACTTGGGTCTGGGAGCAGCTGGAGGAAAAGCTGGCGAGAAGCAAGCAGCCAGCTAATCGATCTCTGGATGCTACTTCGGAGCCTACTTCAGCCGCTGGCACTACTGCGTCTGCGAATGCAGTCAATGAAGCCGCGCTTTCTACAATTACCAACACAATCACCAGCGTTCCAGAAGGCTTCAACCTCCACCGTAACCTCCAACGTATCCTCGTCGCCAAGAAGCAGGCCTTTGACGAAGGCACAGTCGACTGGTCTACAGCCGAAGCCCTCGCCTTTGGAACACTCCTCCAAGACGGCAAGTCCGTTCGCCTCAGTGGCCAAGATGTCGAGCGAGGCACCTTCTCCCAGCGTCACTCCGTCCTGCACGATCAAGTCACCCACGAAGAGTACACCCCCCTGAACAATCTAGACACTCCAGGAGCAGGCACATACAGCGCAATCAACTCCCCTCTCAGCGAGTTCGGCGTCCTGGGCTTCGATTACGGGTACTCTCTTGCTGCGCGAGACTCGTTGGTCATGTGGGAGGCGCAGTTTGGCGACTTTGTGAATAACGCGCAGGTTATTGTCGATCAGTTCATCTCTTCGGGGGAGGCGAAATGGATGCTTGAGTCAGGGCTTGTCATGTCCTTGCCACACGGGTATGACGGTCAGGGGCCGGAGCATTCTTCTGCTAGGCTGGGTAGGTTTCTTGAGTTGGGGAGCGAGGATGGGCGGGCTTGGCCCGAGGATTTGGAGAGAACGAGGAGGGAGGGGAATGTCAGGATTGTGTGTATGACGACGCCGGCGAATTTGTTCCATGCGTTGAGGAGGCAGGTCTACTCTCCTGAGAAGAAACGTAAGTACATGTTCACGTGAGAATTGACTTGGAATTGTCTGCTAACACTCTCAGCTCTGATCATCTTCTTTTCCAAGTCTCTTCTCCGACATCCTATCGCCAGGTCTTCCGTTTCTGACCTCACGGGCTCATCGATCTTCCAGCCCGTCCTCGAGGACCCGGAACACGGACGGGGTAACATACTCCCCCGTGAAGAGATTGACCGCATCATTCTCTGTAGCGGTCAAGTCTACGCAGCACTGCACAAATATCGTGAAGCAAAGGGCATCAAGAACGTTGCCATCACACGTATCGAAGAACTCCACCCATTCCCCTGGGCTCAAGCCAAGGAGAGCCTAGAATCGTACCCCAACACGCAGAAGATTGTGTGGTGCCAGGAGGAGCCGTACAACGGAGGTGCGTGGCAGTACATGCGGGACAGGCTTGAGACTGTGATTGAGAATTCGGGTGTGCTTGGGGGTAAGAAGATCGTTTACGCTGGGCGGGGGACTGGGGCTGCTACTGCTACTGGTTCCAAAAAGGTTCACCAAGCTGAGGAGGCCAAGTTGCTTCAGGATGCTTTCGAAGGCTAGGTTCGAGACAGAAAGATGTACTGGTAAACATGGGGAAACTGCGTTCGGTTCTCGAATTATTCCTCGTCGGTGCGGGAAGTGGTCTCGACTCGGCGGTTGGCGGGCGGAAACTAAGACATCATGCCAGCGGCCCGACCCCTGAGTACTATTGATAAGGATGGTTCCAATGATTGCCGTTCCCCATCGTCCAGTTTTGCGGGGTAAAGAGTCGAAATGTCTGAATGCAGGACGAGTTCGGGTCGCAGCTGAAAGCTGGCAGCGCGGGTTAAACTGCTTTCAGTTAGGGTGCGCGCTTGCCAGTTGATTCTCAACGTCAGCTATTCAAATTTCAGCCAGCCTCTGTGGGTGATATGGACGGGTCTCGATTCAGGTAAAGGTCCATCACTGTCTCGCGTGGTCAAAATATGGGGTGATAGGTTCAAAGTACGAGCAGGGCATTTTCTTCCCGCAAACATAACATTGCACTAGCAGCGGCTGAGAGTGAGACCAATTGAGAAATTTGACACGATGCCAGACATCAATGAACGAAGGGAAAGTATGAGAGGAAAAAGTACGAGATTTGGCCGCCGACAGTAATGAAGTTCTTGTTATTGAAAATTGTATAAATGTCCATAGGCCCCGCGCCGAATGTTACTCTCTGCAACTCAACCACCAACGACTAAAGCAACTCCTTCTTTTCCATCTGATAGTCAGTCCACGTAGTTCTGATCAGTAGAGAAAATATGGCGCCTCCAGAATCCCCTGATACGACTCCAAAAGTCTGCTATAAATATATCTGGGCCGAATTTGTCGCCCAGTGGAAGCTCGAGAACGACCTTGAAGCATCAAAGAACGGCTATGCTGATCTTGTAGACACAGATAGTTTGAAGCCGGAAGCCGAGACCGTCTCCGGATTGGCCGAGACCCTCAAACCGGTCACCGGTGGCGGCGTCATCCCCCAGAAGCCGGGACACTTCAACGTCGGTATCGTCGGCGCCGGCACGGCTGGACTATTTA